AGGGCTAATAAAAGAGAGGTTCCTTGATTGATATATTTTTTTTAAAAAACTAATTTCATGATTAGGAGCGCACACTTGCAAATTGAACATTTAAAACTTCCAACAGATTTTGGAATGCGACTCGATCTTGACTCAGTGTCTGTTTTGTTTATTTCATGTTCAAGGAGACTTAGCTTGATACATACTGTTGTCAAAATAAAAAGTAAACGCTCAGAGTAACTTTTGATCTAATCTAATTAACGGATTTTCACATACTCAATAGTTCGAGGACTTTATATGTTAATGAATAACGCTAACGATATTTTGAGTTGTGAAATCAGACACAAAAAAGTACTTTCTCAGAATTAAAATTTTTTTTTAAATATTTTTTTGACAGATTTGGTTTTTTGCCCCTTGAAATGCGGGGGAACGGTAGCTGCAATGTAGAAAATATGGTCCCAATAATTTATACAGGAAAGCGATTAAAAGTTTTGACTCCTTCAAGATAATTTCAGTTTTTACGTATTTGGCTTTATCTCTTGAAATTGCTAAGCGAATCAAAAAGTTTTAGCACACAATTATAAAATTCATTTATCCCAATAAAATAATAATAATCATAATTTATTTTATCTAGTGAAGGGAATTTGAACTGTAAAGTATTACATTGCTAAGTATGTAATTTTCAACAACAAAATACAAAATTTAAATTAAATTGGTGGAACAGTTCTAGAGGAATCAAGTTTATAAATTGTTAACTCGGAAACAATTCGATCTACTTCATTCAAATCTTGTATTTGAAAATTACATGCTTTTAAAATGGTGTAAAAATTTTTACACATTATAATTCAAAAATTTTTAGACTACTTTCAGATAAAATAATTAATAATTATTAAAAAGATTTTTTTATGAAATTATCATTCGATTATTACGAATATTATAATTGTGTACAAAAATCTTTTAATTCGCTTAAAATTTTTTCCTACATTAGCGAAAAGTGCAAAAAGTGAAATTAACATATTAAGGTCCAAACTTTGGACTGCCCTCCTGCCTAAACTATTGCGACCCTATTTTTCAGATTGAGACTAGCTAACATCCATATTTTGAGAGTCAGAATTTCAAATTCGAGGAAATAAGATATGTTTATTCAAAGAAAGTACGTTTTGAGTCTCATTTCACAATTTATATCATTAAAATATCGTCTGTATTAATTAGCACATTTAACCCTTTGACTACTAATGGGAATCATTTGTCCCAACAAATGTTTAAAAATTACTAATGGACATATGTATCCCACCATTAAGTACGGCCGGGACATATATGTCCCAGCCTCTAAATTGATAACCGCTTGTCAGAAAAATCCCAAATACTATATTTGCCTTATTTCTGACCTATTTTGTCCTTTTGAATAATAAACGGGACAAAAAAAATCATTTCTTAAAATTCGTAGTCAAAGGGTTAAGATTGGACTTTCGAATCTAACTTTTGAGTTTATAAGAGCTGAGCATGTTTTTGATCAAAAACGACTCCAGATTAGCTTCGAATTTATGTATGATCTACCACGCTTTGTTTTAATGTTTGGACAACATTTTTTTTTTATGAGAAGAGCTTATTTTCAGTTTAGATATTCAAGCTTTCCTACTTGAGAAGTTGTATAATAAGTTTCGAAATAAAATTATAAAATAACTCGTACTATATTTCTGTTAGTTATGATATTATAGTTACATTTAAGGATCTACTTGAGTCAAAATTTTTCTCAAAAATTTCTGTTCTATAAATTTTGAGTTTAGTAATATTTTGCATTAAATAAATAATTAAAACAAAAAAAAAATTATAAATAATTAAAAATCTTTTCTTACAATTGTAGTAAAATAATACAGAAATAAACAACCTCCTAAAATAAAAGTGCTATTTAAAGTTATTTAAAAAATATAAAGCTTTTCATTCCACCAGCACTGAATTGAAAAATATGTTTGGAACTTTTCCATCTCTAGTTGGTGTAAAAAATCTACTTCTAAAGTAGCTACATGAAGTATCTACATTAAAATATTAAAGTAAGTATTACTAGTCAGGGTGCGTAGCCAAATTTTTCTACAAAAAATAAGCACCTTTTAAGTACTTCTTAAGCACTCAAAAAATATTTTCAAAAACTACAAACATTAAAAAAATTTAATATAATTTTCAAAGACTTCACATGATCATGATAAAATAACCAGTTTCTGACAAAGAACTCTTATCTTGATTATATTAAGCATTAAAAAAAGATCAAGAAATTTTTCGGATCTATTTCAAATGGAGAAAAATGAAGCCTGAAATCGAGAATATCTTTCAAAATGCAGCAGAGTTGCATATGAGAGTACAAGAATCTCACCGAGCCCAGCTCAGTATATTCACATACAAACGCCTAAGTATTTCATCTAACATGTAAAATGATTGGCGCTTTCATGCGCTACGGACCGGCTTGACGCCGAAATAGATTGTGGTTGAATTTATTGTGAAAACGTTGAATAGAACAATGTGAAAAGCACTTTTGAATAATATATGGCGAAAATCATCATGGTAAAGAAGAAAAAAAAATCACATTTTCGAAAAGGAAAAATTAAGCACTTTTTAAAAACACCCATTAAAAAAAAACACCTTTAACAGCTTTTAAAAAAATAAAATCGAAAATGAGCGCCTTTAAGCACTTTTTAAAAATGCTATGCGCCATGCCAGTAGTACATATTCCCCCGAATTACAGGAGGAAGTAGTTTAATTGTGGTAAATTTTAAATATGAGTTGCCTCGAGCAAGAGCATTATGACAGATACTGAATACAGTTATTCTTTATTTTGATGGGGTGGCATGTTTTGCCTAATCCATCCAATAATGCAAAGTCATTCAGAAGATCAACAAATAATAAATATAAAAATTTTTATTTTATCTTTTGTGCAGGATTTCGTAGTATTGTTCAGTACTGATTAATTGCTGCTGGTTATTTACGCTATATTCTGTGATTTGGAACATCCTAAACATCATTGGTAATTTTTTTTTTAAGTATCACATTTTAAGGTAAAATAAATTATTATAAGACTTTTTAAATGGCTTACATATTTTTATTAACTTCAAAAAATGTAATGTAACAGAGGGGACATTTTGCAAATTTGACAAATAATTACAGGGAAATATCATGCCATTTAATTAAACATTGCACCTTAAAGTAGCATATTATTGCACAATTTTTTGTTTTGACATATAATTAATACATTTCTTATAATAAAATACCTGAGTGATTTCCCCTCTGTTACACTTAATTCTACTACTGGTTTCAGTTGGCATGGAATTCAAAACAGTATCATTACAGTTAACAAATAATATTATGATAAAATAAGTGTCACAAATAAAATATTAAAGAAAGTAAGAAAAAAACTAATTTAGACATAAAAAATGTTGACTTTAAATAAGATTATAAGCCTGAAACAGGAGTAATTAGTGAACAGTCCCTAAATAAAACCATCATGCGCTTGTCATTATTAAAAATCATTATTAAATAGAATTTATCATCGAATAGAATTCGTGATTAAATAGAACTATCATTATTTAATAGAATGAAAAGTAGTTAGAATCATTCCAAAAAGATTAAGTTTTGAATTGTATCTCCCAAATCAAAAATAAATAAATAAAAAATAACCCATCAAATTTAATGACTATTTTCACAACTTATTAAAATAAGATAATAATTATTAAAAGGATTAACTGTATCCTGAAAATAGAGTGCAATAAGACATTATCAACACCTATTTTTAAATAATGATATAAGAGTGCACCCCAGTCTTTTTTCTAAGAAACGAATAAAATAAAAATAAGACCTCAGTTCCATAATAACTAATTGGGTCCTTTAAACAACTTCAAGAATCATAGATCCTTTTAAATAAAAAATAATACTTATTTTACAATGGACAACAAACTTACAATACAGCAAAATAATAATTGATTCTGTTAAAGTACCGAATTTCTGACACTCCAAAATTTACATATATTTCCGTAAATGTTTCTCATAGTTGGATAAGTGTTGACAACTGCATAACGGTACCTATTATAGCAGATAGAGATAGGGTAGAAACACAATAACTGTCTGAATAACTCTACAATCAAATAAACAAATGGATAAACAAAGGAAAACAAAAACTTAACATTATTTTCTTTACAATTAACTTACAAATCGCAGCCACAACAGGTTACTCTCAGCAATGTTTTAACTTTTATACTAGACATATTTGTGCTTCAGCAAATGCATACTAGATTCTCTTATTAAAAAGGAAAGAAATTGTAACATGGAAGAGTACTTTAAAAAATTTGCTCAGTCGCCTACATGTGAAACACATAAGCAAGGGCCTGTAACTGACTTATGATGAAAAAAAGGCAAAAAACGACAAAAATTAAAGACTATTCTTTAAAAAAAGTGGGGTTGTTCAGAAAATTCGGTAATAATTAATTCTTCTGAGGAAAAGGGGAAGATAGAGAAGAGGTTTTCACGCTAACTCTTTTTTAGTTGAAACAATCTTTGGATTTCAATTTTTGAACAAAAGCATACTAGTTTTAACATTGATATATCAAGTTTTTTCCTACTTCTTTTCTAGTGAAAGAAATTTTGATTCTTTTGAAATTGCGTGTTTGTAAAAAGGGTATATTTTGAACAAGCAAAAAAAATAAATTCAGGAATATCAGGACAAAAAGTGAAAAATCAAAAGAAATAAAGACAGAATATTTCGTATAAGGCCAACTATGAACCCTGAAATAATTAGCCTCTTAATACCAAAAATAACTCATTTTTAAATAAAATTAAAAATCAAAGACGGTACCCAGTTTAAACCCTGAGGCAGATGTTCTACTAAGGTGATTGTTTTTATTTATTTCAAAAGTTTTTTTTTTTTTTTGCAATCTAAAAATCTAGATACTTAACTAATGATGCCTGGCCAAGACTGTACCCCAATGCCTTGATAGCAATGGCATTAACAATGGTTTATTTAACTGAGATATTTGGGGGGGGGGCTGGGTAAAACAGGACAACCCTTTACAGAAATGAGATTATTTTTTTCCTATTTTGTGTGTACATTACAATCAACATTTTTCAAAAATGCAGAATACATTTTGTGGACTTATACGACATTTTTATTACACAGATAAAAACCAATATTTATTACAAATAAATAATGCTGATAATTTTTACACATTTTACCATTCATTAACTCACACACATGCAGATAATTTCACAAGAAAATCCTAGTGAAAGTGCAAAAGATTATGTATTAGGTAAGCAAGAGTACACAACAGAAAAGTGGACAACCTTTTTTCTTTTCATAAGAGGGTCGCAGAAAATAAAATCTGGCTTTTAAAATCAGCAATTCCTTTTTTTTCTTCTTTTGCATAATAAAACATTGTTTTGAACATGTTTAGTTATAAAAAAAGATTTCTTCAAATAAATATGAAATGTTGAAATACTTAAATTTTTAAATTAACAGATTAATGCCTTGAACAATATTGAATTTCATATCGAAAAACAGTTATAAATTTTTTTATTCAAGTTGTAAGCTTTTTTTTTTCAATACATTTTTTGTTATAAGGGAGGGACACACATACAATGACCTTTCAAGGGCTGCACTCATATTTGCATGACATTCAACAAAACTCATAACTTTTTTTTTTACAATATTGACATTTTAGCAACGAAGAATATAATACATAAAAAAATATATAGTGCGGCTTCTAAGAGAACTCCTCCAGACACCACTTGTGGCGGGTACCATGGTTACGAGAAAAATACACTTCGAATAGGAGTGTGGGGTGAATAGTTTTGGCATAGGTCAGTGTGAGTGAACTAATTGACACCTTCGTTCCTCCATTTCATCCCCATTAGAGTTGTGCTCTCTCTTTTTACCATAGTAACAGACAGCCCCAGACCTTTAGCCTGAAGGAGTTCTTTTCAAAACCGCACTATACTGTATCTATTGATTCATCTTGAAAAAAAAATAATAAAAAATTAAAAATTAGTAAACATTAATAGGCAACAGTAAAGAACATGCTTAAATTTCAGTGCTCAATTTTAAAAAAAAATTTCTTTTTTGGCTGAAAGATTTATACGATGATAGTAATGCAAATTAGTATGACTAAATTTTGACACAAATGTAGTACTTTAAAACTTGTTTTTAAAAAACTCATAGCATTAATTTCATGTTGTGCCATGAAATAGAAAAAAATAAAGTAATTTAAAGTATGAATAATAATAATCAAAATAAATTTATTTACAAATCCAATAGACTAAAAAATAATTCACCAACAAGCAAGAGGGAAGGATAATATAAAAAAATCTTAAAATTATTTACGAATAAAGAAAGAGAAACGGACAGAACAGGAGAATTATAAGTTGCAAAAAAATTAATTATACATCTTGTTAAAGTTTCTATCACTGTTGTTTTGAAATTTACCGAAATCTAAAATGATTAAAACTGATAATTACAATTTAAATACCGTTTCATTATGCAAAATTTCTAAACATTAAAATTTTTTTCCGATTAAAATTTTCTAATTTTTAAATCGAAAATGTCATTGATACTTAAATGCTGTTTCATAATGCAAAATTCCTAAACATTTTAACTTTTTTTTCCTTAAAAAATTCAATGGATAAAAATAAAATGTTTGCACGTCAGAACTAAGTGTTGTCGGATATTTACATAAAATCACATTTGGATTAAAAAAATGTCTTTACTCATAAAAATATCCATAACAAGGGAATGAGTTCATTTTTTTGTAGTCCGAGATGAGGAAAACGATTCCTTTCGCTCTAGTAAGAAATCTTCTACTTCTTCACACAATGTCCTGAATTCTTTTATCCGCTGGGCAATATATCTTTTCTATAATTAACATACAACAAAAAAGACAGATGTATCAATCAAATGTCATTATAATCAAACAACAAAATCAAATAACATTGCATATTACAAAAGTAAAAAAAAAAATTAAACAGAATCAGGGTACCCTAGCAACAATTTGACCCAGTTGGGCTCAAAATTGGCTCACAGGGTGCATAGCCAAATTTTTCAACAAAAAATAAGCACTTTTCAAGCACTCAAGAAATATATTTTTTAAAGCACTTTAAAAAAATATAATTAGGCAGGGTTGAGTCGCGATAGATCAGGGGATAGAGCGTTCGCCTTCCAATGAGGTGAACCGGGGTTCGATCCCGCCAATGACGTGAAATATCCTTAGTGGTAGACGGACCATAGATTAGAGTCCCCTTGTCGTCAGGGTAACCGTGGGAGGTTCTCGTGGTTTTCTTCTCCATGTAACGCAAATGCGGGTTTATTCCATCAAAAGTCCTCCACGACAGCAAATTTCTCCCAATTCTTGATCCAGGAGTTCCTTTGTCTTCTGGATTGGGTTCAAAATTACAAGGCTACGGAGTTAAACATTAGTATTCACAAACCCAAAAATTGGGTCGGCTGTTCAACGACGGTTATAAAATAAAATTAGACAGGGTTGGTAAGTTTTTGACAATTGATGATTTTATTTGCTTGCCAGAGACGAAGATGATGGCGTGTCACCAACGATGAAATTAACAAGAGAAATAAAATTTTCTATCGCTATTAGAGAAAAAAAATTTACAATGTTTAGTTGGTCCCGGCAACCAGGATCAATTTTTACAACAGAAAAATTTTGGTAGCATAAACTATGAGTAGGGCAGCATTATATACGGTAGTGCCATCTATGTTCTGTGAATGAAAATACCTTCAAAAATATTGACAGGACAGGTGGGAAAGTCTCCCATTAGACAGAGAAACGCTTCTGTCCCAAAAGATTTTTTTGAAATTTGCTTGGGACGTATGTGTCCAGTTAGGCGCGAAAGGGTTAAGGGCTTTTAAAACACTAAAATAATTACTTTAAGCCATTTTTTAAAAAGATATGCATCCTGGCTCAGTGTAAGAGTATGCACCGAGTGACCGATATTGGAATGTTTATATTTTTAATATTTAGCCTAAAATGGCCTATATTAGCTGAAGAATGAATTTAAAATATTGGATAAATCTCATAATTCCGCATAGGGCCCATATTGTTTGTAAAGTATCTGTATAATATCGGGTGAATCATACAATATATCGGAAAAATAACAGCCTTTTGAACCCTTATTGAATCAAAATTCGTAAATATCCGTCCAATGAGAGCCTAAATTATTTTGCCGTTAGGATATATACTTAGAGAAGAGGAAAACGTAGAAGGAAAATTTTAAAAATTTTTTAGTTTAATGGAATCTGTAAAGTATAACCAATGAAAGTATAACTTGTAAATAACACGATTAAATAAAATTTGCTATTATTGAATTCCATGCCAACTGAAACCAGTAGTAGAATTCCAAGTGTAACAGAGGGAAAATCGCATTCTATCATAAAAAATTTATTAAATATATGTGAGGGGAAAAAATTTTGCAATAATATGCTACTTTAAGGTGCAATTTTTAATTGAATGGCATTACATTTACCTGTAACTATTTGTCAAATGTCTCCTCTGTTACATTGCGTTTTTTGAAGTTAATAAAAATGTGTAAGCCACTTAAGTCACAAAAGTCTTATAATAATTTATTTTACCTTGAAATGTGATAGTTAAAAAATAAATTACAAATAATGTGTAGAATGTTCCAAATCACTGAACATAGCGGAAATAACAGTGCATGTCAAAAATGTGGGATTTTCTTGTCCCCTCTGTTACGGACGCTTTTAATAACCAGGCAATTAAATTATGAGGCTTTTTTATTATTTTATGCAATTAAATTAAACATTGCACCTGAAAGTAACATATTATTGCACAATTTTTTGTTTTCACATATATTTAATACATTTTTTAGGATAAAATACCTGAGTGATTTCCCCTCTGTTACGCTTAGAATTCTATTTTATTACTATGAATATGGATTTGTAAAATAAATAAATATGGCTTCCAGTTCACAGATTACAGTACAAATCCTTCTCAATATCTTATTTTTATTACAATGGTTATTTTTATTTTATTTTCAAAATTAGAAAAACGCTACAATATTTAATTGAAATAATTCTTTGCTATAAGTGCAGCTAAAAGTTTTCACTTTTAGATATTTATAAATACTTCAAAATTACGAAACAAAAAGAATATTTTGTACCTTATTATTACAAAAACAACAGATATCAAACCTAGCTACAAACATTCACAGTTGTTTGCAACTTTTCTGTCTTTACTACCAATCAATGCCACACAATATTTTCTACCTAAGATCAGATACCGATAAAGTCAAATTTAATGAATTTTGTCATAAAAGAGTACAGTAGCACCTAATTATAAAGAAGTGTTAAATAAAACTTCATTAATCCTTGAAAGTAATGCATCACATAGTAACCCATACTCACTAAAATAACCTAGCACTTACTAATCTCTCAGATACTAGTTATAACCACAAATTCAGAACTAAAATTAGTATACTAATTTACCTATACTAATTTTAGTACACTAAAAGAAGAAAAAAAAGAGATACTTAAAATATTGTTCATGTAAGTATTTTAGCCCAATTACAATTAATCTCACAAGTAATTAAGATTCCATCACAGTAAACAAAAATCATTTGATCAAAAACCATTAACGTGTTCTTTCTTTCTTTTAAATTTTTTTTTTGCACACATACTTAGTTAAGCAAAAATTTTAAATACAGTTTTGGGATATAGTAGTAACTTCAATTTTAATCCCTCTATAAAAATATAATTTTAAACTAAGAAATGGAAATTCTAGAAATAAACATGCATTTTTTAACGAGAGAGGATAAGGAATTTTCTTTATTAGGATCATAATACTGATTTATTTATAGAAATGTCAATTACCTGGATTTTCTGAGGATTTTTCAGAACAATAACACCTTAGTTTTTATTTTATTTCATAAAACAGATAGATTATTTTATTCATGAAAAATTCAAATTACTTACTGTTTTGTTACTTTTTCTAGCAGCTTCAATGCTATAAACTTCTGCAACAGTCAATTGATTTTGTGGCTTTCTCAGTTTCGCAAACAAACAAATTTTTGAATGAGAAAAATGTTCAGACCTACAAGATTCAAATAAAATAATTTTAAAAAAAGGGGGTCCAGATTTGTTATGCCTCTGCATCTTTTTTTTAATACTTTTAATTTCACGCCAATATCCACAATAACTGCAAATGGTACTTATGGTATGTATTGTATTTATGCTCGTAGATAAATGTGACATAATGAACAGGTGAGTGGGAGCCATGTGCATGTGCTAAATCGTAATCAATGTTCAAGGTCCACGCTTATTTGGCTTTCGATTGCTACATATCTGCTTGGAAATTCACTACGATGATGTTTCTTATAATCTGCACAGATTAATTAAGAATTAATTTTAATCTTAATTTAATCTATTTGAAGTGAAGCATGCCTGAGTGAGAAATCTAAATTATTGTTTAGAGGTGTTTTACTTTGAATGGAAAGCGTGTTAAGAAAATTTGTTTTTATGGGAAAAGACTTAGTTTGAACTATAGAGTAAATTTTTTAATTTTGTGCATTTGCTAAAACAAAGATTAAAGATTGCTATAATTTCAAAGTATTTTGAAGAAAAGAAACCCTTTTTATAAGTGAGTAACTTCATGTGCTTATAATGTTATCTTTTTTTTAATGCTTGTTTAGCATTGTTAAATAGTTATGTGCTATATTTTTCAGGGTTGCCAATCAAATCTGGAGAGAAAAAAAAATTCCATGTTTTCCCTGTACATATTATTTGCACTATATTAGGAGGAAAAACACAATCACTCTGCTCTTTTAACAGGGTGCGTATCCAAAGCTTTCAACAAAAAATAAGCACCTTTTATGTACTTTTAAGCACTCAAAAAAGATTTTTAAGCACTATGTACATCAACAAAATCCAAAATAATTTCACAAAAACTTCACACGATCATTATGAAATAACTAGTTTCTGACAAAGAACTCTTTTCTTGATTATATTAGCCATTATAAAACGATCAAGAGATTTTTCAGTTCGATATCAGATCGTGGAAAATGAAGTCTGAAATTGATAATATCTTGCAAAATGCTTCAGAGTTGCACATGAGAGTGCGAAAATTTCACCGAGCTAAGCTCAGTAGACGCAAAAGCGGACCAAGTATTTTATCAAATATGTAAAATGGCTGGTGCTTTCACAAGCTATGGACTGAGGGTATGCCGAAATGGATTAGGGTTGAATGAATTGTGAAAACGTTGAATAGAACAATGTGAAAAGCACGATTTTGCACAATACGTGGCACATATCGACAAGGTAAAGAAAAAATCTCATTTTCGAAAAGGGAAAATTAAACAGTTTATAAAAACTAAAAACACCAAATGAAAAAAGCACCTTTTAAATACCGAAAGTTGAAAAAAAGCGCCTTTCAGCGCTTTTTTTAAAAAAATGCTATGCACCATGTTAAAACAAATAATGCTATAGTATATGAATTAGTTTAATACAGCTGAAATATCCTTAAATATGCCATAGGTTGCACTTTGAGTGGTCACCATTTTTTAAAAGAAGAAAATAAGAAACAAAATTTCCTGTATTTTCCCAGTTTCTAAAGAAAAACACAAAATTCCCTGTATTTTCCAGGTTTTCCCTGTGGAGTGGCAGCCCTGTTTTTACATAAATTGCAGCAGAGATATAACAAAACATATTTAACATTGTAAAACAGTAATTTGGTATTATCTCAATATGCAATTCACCTCTGTAGAAGACATTTATTTTTAGAGTTTTAGTTTTGCTCTTTTAGTGCCACTGCTCGGTATACATTGGCTCAGTATATTCTACAGTGATGTACCACTGCCTGGTATATCCTACAGTGATCTTTTTTTTAAGGTTAACTGCCATTGCTCAGGATAACTTACACTGTTGCTTTAAAATTTGACAGTAACACAAGAGAATTTCAAATTTCATAGGGTAGCAATATTTGATTCCGTTTTTAGCACCTGGTACAAACAATTGTTAAAGATCTGCAATTATTTATGAAATGCCTTGTGTTAAAAAATGACCGTAATACAAGTTAGCTTCAAATTCAATAGGGTAGCAATACTTGATTTTGCCTTTTCATAAGACGAAAGCGGCACCAATAAAAATGAGCTAAAAGTGGATGATGGGAGAAAAAAAATTGCAAAACATTGGGTACAGAGGGAGAACAAATTATTGTTCTGAAACAAAATTACCACTGTGAAACATAAAATCAGTGAGAAACATTAACACTATAAAAAAATGGCCTTAAAGCCTTAACTCAACCAAAATTTGCAACTTCAATTTTGCATGCATCAAACCAAATATGCAGCATAGAAAGAAACGATGCATAAAATCAAACAATTTAAGAGAAAATATAATAAGCTCAACTTGTTCAGTACATCAACTTGTATGGTAAAATTAACTCAGTGTTCTCCCTAAGCGTTTTTAGAAGAGGGGTCTTTCCTGGCTGCCCTTTGATCCATGTCAATGCACTCTCGTTGTGCCCTTTGTCACAATAAGTCGCCATCTCTTAAAAACATTTTATTCATATTCCATTTATTTTAAAATTAATTCACTGTTAAAATAATAATTACCCACTGGTAAAATTATCTGTGTTTATAGATTTAACTCTGATTACTATAACAAATATTTGTGGCGTTAGGATTATTCTCAACTTGTTAAATATTTATAAGTATCTCTTTTTTCAAGGGGATAGGGATATTGATAAATTTTTTTAATGGTTCTAATTTTTAAAATAATTTTTTATCTAACTTATTTTCTGAATCAAACTTTAAATGTTCATTGTTTCACAGTTTCAGTTTAAATCATATAAAATTCTTTCAACTTATTTATCGATTAAAACATTTTTTTAAAAATGATTTATGCCTAGAGATTGTTTATTAGTATGCCTTTAATTATTTTATAAACTACAAATTGTTCTCTTATTCTAATAATGAGAGAGAATTATTTTTCAAAATATACACATAAAATAGTATACAAGGGTAATTTAAAAATAATTTAGAATCAAATTCAGTTACATTACATATTTTAATTTATTTTTAACACTGCTCTTTTTTATGCCCAGGGAGAACTCAGTTAACTCTTATGAAATAAGGCCAAATTAGTTTATGATATTGAGATATTAAATTATAAAAATAATATTGAAAAAGTTCTTATTAAACCAATAGCAACATTTAAGAAAAATTGTTCAACATAATTGTTTTTTAACGAATCAACAACATAGAAGTAAAGAAAAATCCAAGCAAAATATATAGGCACAATCATAAAAATTAAAACATATACACATGAAGTTAAAAATAATGATAAAAAAGTTTGTGAAATAGAGACTTTTAATTTATAATTTATTGAAGTAGAATAAATTAGTTATTTGAATCTTTTCTTCCTATTTTCCTTCTTAAGTTTTGTTTCATTTTTTTTCAATTTTACTAAAAAATTTATTTGTTAAAAGAAACAAAAAATTTTTATTGTGTGCCCTAGTTTTCAATTTACTTGCATATATTGTACAACAGCATTTTACTCTCAACTGCCCATTTATGACTGGGAGGATATGGAGAATTTTTTTGACAAATTGCATGATTGTGGCAAAGCGCACAGACCACCAGATTATTTTCCAGACTAGTTACCCATTTATATGTAGTTGAGTGCGGGCCCCTTACTAGGAATCGAACCCAACACAATAACATTCCTTAACCACTGTGCCATATCAGTTTAAAGAAAACGGTTAAAATTATAGTTGATTTTATACACATCAAATGTGCCGAAGAATGCAAACCAATATATTTTTTCACGAACTCAGAATGAGAATTTTAATGCAACTTTCCAAACCAGCTATCAACAACACAGAATTATATACAGTTAGTGTTATCAAATTCAAATTTGCACAATTCATCGTCATCAAAGTTGGTCAAACAGCCCAATGCCTTCTTCTGAAGATTTCTCCATATCGACATCAGATTTATATTTGATCTCCAATTCTTTTCATTCCCTGCAAGAAAATCAGACCCCCACCCCGAGTCAGCCCATCTCAACCGCAGCATTCCCCGCTTTCTTGTTCCATTGGGTCAAAAAAGCAATATCCTTCTTACCGTATTGTATTGTCATTTTTATTCTTACTTTATTGTTTTTAGAATTGTTTCTGGAGTAGAAAAACAAAACAGCAAAATTACATAAGTCTTGGTAGTTAAGGGGAAAAAACTTATTTGAAATAGAGAATTGTGGAAATCGTCAAGAGTTCTCCCAAGGAATAAAAAAGGTACTTCCTCACAGAAAAGGGCAGTTTGAGTTTCGAAAGGGCGTTAAAATTTATCGAAAAATTACCCTCTTACACTATTTTATGTGTATATTTCACTAAGTAATTTTCACTTATTATCAAATAATAGAAAAATTTGAGGCTTTCTAAAAATAGTTAAGGCAAGCTAAAAGACAATCGATGGATAAATTTTTCTCAAATAAAGTAACCTGAAAAAAGATTAATTGATAAACTTAAAAGCTTTTTTTCTTCATATTTTAAATTCAAAACAATAAGATAATAAATATTTCAAGGTGCATTTTTAAATATTAGGTATTTAGAAAGATTATAGCAAAATTTAAAATCACTAAAAAATTCATTAATATACCCCTTGCAAAAAAGGAAACTAATAAAAATCTAAACAGTTTAACCTAACAAAGGAAATATCTGTAATATATATGTTTATTCTGAAATATTAATTTAATTAATTTATCTAGTGTGTAATTATTATCAAAATAGTGCATTAAATTGTTTTTCAATGGAGTATGTAAACTAAAAATAATAAGTACACATACTTAATCTTTTTAATGATTTATATTTATACAGAAAATAAGACATTCTATTTAAAAATGAATTATAATAGAATTAGATAGAAATATTATAGAATAGAAATAGATTTTAACATAAAAGCAAAATAAGAAAAGAGCTATTCTTTATAAATATGAAAGCAAACTTTTTGTACTACTTTAAATTTTATGTGCTTAAGTTTAAGCTAGTACTTATTGCTAAAAAATTGTACTGGTCATTTTGAGACTAATAATTTCCATTCTTTTCAGTGTCTTGAAACAAAATGTACTTTTTCCTAAAGAAATTCCAACTATGGCTAACAATCTGATCTAATAATACAATATCTTGACCAAAAAAAAAAATTAATCCTAATTATTGAAAGAAGAAAATTCTCATGGGAATATCTTTGTGGCTGAATATCATGTGAATCTTAACTATATAACTGCACAACATAAGAAAAATCTTGTTAAAATGAAGGAATGAAATTAAAAATTAAAGTTAAATAATTATCTAACTAAATAAATTGGATGTGGACTTTTCATCAAAACAAGTGGTTAAGAGAAAAATATTGTCCTGAAAAAATAAAATAAAAAGGCAGGGTTTTTAAGGAATGGCAGCTTATTTTCCCAAAAAGGGTAAGGAGGGTGCATTTACAGAGAAGAGATCAAAGGGAGGGCAAGACGAGCCCTCCTCCTTTTGAAAAAACTTAGTGTCTATGGTAAGAACTCCCCCCTCCACAAAGTCTGTTTCTTTTCACTCTAGGGCTAACATAGTAGACTGAAGAAAAAGATTCCCATTCTCTCGCCGACCCGAGCCGAACCCTGTCCTAAACAATGACCCCCCCCCCACTTGAAATAGTTATACCTTGTTATCATAGTAATGCCACGGGTCCAGACGAATGGCATGGGGAGTTCTTACTTTAGACAAACTATATGATTGGAGAAAAAAGTATAAGTGTGTTATTATGAATAATAATTATTACTGTGATAAAATAACTTAAATATTACCATGGTTCATCGGTAGCCTCCCATCCATCTAATTCTTTAAAACACACATAGCACTGCACTAAATCTGGTTCATTTTCTGTTGGACAATGGAAAAATCCCGCTTCTGCCATCTATAATAAAATTGAATGATTTAATACTATGATTCATTCTAGGCGGGGTTTGCAAGTTTTTGACACCTGACGGTTTTTACCATCATGTCAAAAACCCATAGTTTTGGTAAAACTGTATTTTTACTTGAGTTTAACTGCTTATAATTTAAAATTAATTCATTTTTGGGCAATAAAATTAGAAAAAAAGTTGTTAAAAGACATTTAAGAATAGATTCTTGCATTTTCCCAACATGATTATATCAAAACATACTATTTGAAGTAAAATATTAGGATACACTGGGACATGAAAAATGCGCAAAATTAGTCACTTGCTATCGTATGCTTCGGCAAAGTGACCCCGACTACTGAGCATGTAATTTTGTTTGTAATTAAGTTTTCTTTAATACGCTTTTTCAACTGAATAAAAGTTTTTAACTTGACAAAATATCAGTAATTCTTGACTTAGAGTTTGTTAGTAGTTACAAGTTTTGAAAGTTTTGTTTAGCTTATTTCTAATATTTAAGAAATGCCAAATTTTAAATTCTTCTTTTTAATTCTTGAATTTATTAATAGTTCCAAGTTTTTTTGTTTACTTCTAACAATTAAGAAGTGCAAAATTTTGAATCCTTTGCAAATCAAGCTATAATGATAAAAGTAAGTATCACTATTTTCAATAAGTATATTACAATATTTCTGTATGAATGTATATCCTTCTATAAGAATACATGTATATAGTTGCAAAATCAATAGCAATCATTTACAACATTCATTTATAAAGGCAATTATGTGAAAATAATATATTGTCCGCTATATGCCATAAATTAAAGAAAACAGTAGGTTTTTGACGGTTTTTACCGGTAAAAACACGGTTTTTACCACTGTCATGTCAAAAACCAGTTTTTGACTGCAAAAACACAACCCTGGTTTGTAGGTTGTACTGCCCCGTATGCCTTTTTCACAAGAACTCCATACCATTGCCCTTTACTCTCTGTTATCTGCTCTGATATAATGAAATGCGCCTTGAGGTGTCCCCTCCAGAAAGAAAGATCACACTAATTAGTCTCAAGAACAATTTTTTTCTTGGTCCGTTTCCCCCCTACTTAGTTATGCTTTTTTATGAATTCAGTTTGTCCTCCATTTTCCAGGACTTTTACAATAGACAGAGTAAGTGATTAGGTCAGTCGCTATCCCTTCTCTACAAGCCTCCCAAATGCTGTCTTGAGAGCCAAAATGGCCCAGGGGATAGAGCATTCGCCTTCCAGTGAGGTCAATCGGATTCAAAAAATAATCACCTGCTATTTATAATAAATAATTGTATGCTTAGACTAATAAACAATCCTTAAAACCTTGCTTAATGTGATTCAACATGAAGCAAAACTTGCAAATGATACCCGACTTCTTAAGAATTAGAATTTGTTTTGCTGAAAAATATTTTTTCGTTAATAAATGCCAAAAATATAAATATAACTGACAATAAAAAAAAACTTTTGATCGTAATAATAGTGTATTATATGAAATTATAAAACAATTTGTCATAACAAATCAAGGATAACAAAATTGAGTAACTAAAATGGATTTTTAAAAAAATCTAGCAAGTCAATACTCTTAAGGAAGAAGTTTCGAAGATATTTCTGTATCGTGATCTGTCGGGCCAACTACAGTCACTAAGGTGCCAAATAAATTTTAAAATTAAAAAAAAAAAACCTTTCTAGTAGGCTCCTTTCTGTGATTATATTTTTTTAATTTCTCCCGGGCTGCTGCCCAGAAGAGTTACCAAGACTTAGCCATTATACTACCACAGATCACGATGCAGAAATATTTCCGTTTCAAGTTCCTTATTTCAGACATCTATACACAATACAATAAAATATTATATTGTACAATTAAAGATGTCTAAGAAAAAAGTAAAAGCTGACATCCTTTCCTCCAGAAGTTTCAAAATTGAAACTTTCCCTAATGATTTCTAGTTGAATAGACTTTCACCAACACCTCATTAAAACAATTTTCTTATACATAACAAGCCTGATAACCCTTTAAATGATATTTTTAACTACTGCCAAAATTTTAAAAAAAAGTCAAAAATTTTTAATCAAGTCCATCGCTTTAGGGGACACTTCTTTATAAAACACTTTATTTTCACGTTAATTCCTAAGCTTTACAAAGCACACATACGTAAGCAGCTGTGTATTCTTACAGTAAATTAAGTATCAAAAAAGGCGGGTAGACTTATCATTTTGAGACACTGTAAACAAACCAGATAAATTTTCATAGAAAATCGTGGAAAAATATTTTAAAAGCAAAGATTTGCAATAACTAACTGATGTACATTCTTTAAATAAAATACTTTTGAATAACATAGCAAAATATGTCTTAAACAAACCTTCGAAGCAGAACACACAGAGTTGTCATCAAATGGCCAATTTTGAAAGGAATTTAATCGCATAGCTTCAGTGTACATAGAATCATATTTCTCCTTGCCTATTGTAGTAAAGCTATTTTCGCCCATTTTTATTAACTTATTATATAATATTTTGGTTAAAACAACAAAAAATATTTAACGTTCAAAAACTTGACATAACAATTTCCGCCAAATTTGTTAACTTAAAATAAATACAATCTTATTGGATAAGAGATGATGATCACAGGCGTGCATACTTAAAGTTTAACGTTGTATACTTATAGCTCGCTTATCAAAACTTTTAGGATGATGCCACTGCAACCAAAATAGTTCTTCCGATATACTTTCTAGTCGCGGCGCTAGTAATGGATGGGGTACTGTATTCATGGGAAGTAAAGGCAAACTTTTTACTGTCTTTCCCAGAAAGCATGTAACCCTACGGCAACCATATGTCGGATGTTTTTTAACTGTCCCGAAAATGTTTGCACTAAAATCGTCTTATCAATGAAACAAAAATATTACAATTTCAAACCTTTCATCGTAAAAGGATAAAAAAAGAATTTCAAATCTTTTTTATAAAATATTGACACTTAGGTTGAAAAAAAGCGAATAGTAAACCTGGTTTTAGTATTTTTTATCATAGCTGGTATGATAAGGTGAACAGAAATACAAAGGGAAAAGCTTCTTTAAAAGAAACGAAATAATGCAAATACAAATCTTTTCCCCAAAAATAATAATAAATAATAAAAAAAATCTTATGCAGAAAACCTCATTCAAGAGAAAGCAAATAAACGAACATAATACCTATTTTTTTTTTATTGTTTTCTATTGTCGTGCAAAACAACTCTACAAAAACCTTCTTTAAAGGTTTTCACGTAATCAGCGATTGGATTTAACACGTAAGGAATGTATTTTTTCTCGGTTGAGCTTTTTATGCTGGATACAACTCAAAATGCGAATTTATGAAAATGGACTCAGATAAAAACAAAAAAAAGCGTGCTTTAGAAAATCCATTTGATTCTATTTTTCAAACTCGTATGAAAATTGATTTTTCTAAAGAATAAATTAATGAATAAAAATAAATTCGTAAGGTAATATCGTCCGTTTTCCTAAATCACCTAGCACACTTTAAATTTTTTTTTTTTAAACTTCGTATGTCAACAATTGTTTTTACAAGGCTGTTACGGATCCAATAGATTGATAATATTGGTATTAAGTTTTTCGCTGAGTGGCTGAGTCCATTTTCTTTAACACGCGTTTCGGGTTGTGTTTATTTTTTTGAACACGCATTTATTGCTGCGTCCATTTCCTTAAACAAGAATTTTAGCTCTGTCTATTTTCCTTATCATGCATTTTGAGCTATTGCTCGAATAAAAAGCTCGCCGTCGCTTTTCTAGTTCGTTGGTGCCAATGCTGCATATTGCTTGGCATGATTTTGTCGCCTACCGACTTAAAAGTTTCAGTTAATTAGTTTTTAATAACTTAGTTAGTTAGCAGTTACCGGTTATCTTTACTTATTCTGTCATAGTTAAACAAAAGTTTTTAATTTAAAATGACTGCCCTCATTGATTATTTTGTAGCTTTAAACAGGCAAAAAGGAGCCTTAAAAGGGAGAAGCTTATCAATCTTGAAAGATTGATAACATAAATGAATATTGAAAGTGGTTGAAATATGGAGTAAAAAATTTATGACTTGCTGGAAGTTGCAACTTTTCTTTATCGAAAAAGACATGGAAGAAAGACAAGAGAATTTGCAGATAGGTTTTAGATTTTTTTTCTCTTTGGCTTAATAAATGCGTGAAACATGAAAACAAAATGAATTTTTACATTATAAATGATAGTAATACAAGGGCGGCGCCAGTAGGGGGTCAGGGGGGGCTGGAGCACCCCCGTCGGGCATGGTCAGCCCCCCCAATCGGGAAAAATTTAAAGTCTCGTCGGGAAAATAGTCTGGTCACATTTTTTTTTTTTCTAAAAAATTTCAAAAATTCATTTACAAATGCCTAATAAAAATTTTTGTAGTTGACTTTTTATTTATTTATTTTTAAGAATTAGTAACAAAATTTAGTAAAATATATTGTAAATTCTATGTAATTGTAGTTTCACTGCACTACTCCTAACTTTGCTCATACATTGTTAAACTAGAGTCCGGATGCGATTAGACATGGTTGAAATTGAAGACTTTTCGAAGACCCATAGAAATCCTTTCCCCTCAAACACATCTTGATTTTCTTGGAAACTTATCTTTNATTTTTTCTAGTTGTGCATAAATTTTTTATTGTTTGAGTTGCATTGTTTGAGTAGAATATTTAATTGAGAACACTGTAGAATCTTATGATGGATGTGCATATATTGTTTATTTATTCAGATATCACTTTTATATTTTTTCTTTGTTAATATTTGAATCATGATAAATTTTTTATCAGAACAAATATGTCTATGTCATATTAATTATTTTTCGTATATTAAAAATTATTGCTTATTTTCAAAATTATCTTAGCCCCCCTGTCGGGCTAAGTCTAGCGCCACTCTTTAGTATTCGACTGATAAGGCTTCCTGACGAACCTTTAACTTTAAGCATTGCGCTTTTATTATACTACAAAATTTTTAATTCCCAATTTTTGATCTTAATTATAAACTGAAAGAAATAAGTATTACAATTTTGTGAGTATTAATCTTTTTTAATTAATTATTGCTTTTTATTAGTAAACACTTTTTTTTTTAATATATATTAATAGTATTTTTATTTTAATAAAGGGGACGCACAAATATTTTTAGTCATTTTCATTGATTAGCTGTACAAATAAAACATCAACTATGTGTTATCAAAGTTGTTTCATTCCAGAGATGAGCATCATTTGAGAAAATTCCAGTTTTGGCTAAATTTAGTCAAATTTTATTTTAAATGATTATTCAAATGCGACTTTAGTCCTCATTCCTTATGCATATTATAGCCTAATGATTGATGAATAAATTCATCAGTCTTGACAAACTTTTTTGCTTTTGAATAACATTAACTAATTGCAAATATTACGCTTCCATGTGAAATAAGACTACAAGAAATCATAATGCTCAGTAACAAAATACGATTACAGCACGATTAATTTTAATCCTAATTTCAAATTAGCTTTATTACTTTGTAAGCAATTTAAAAATTTTTTTTGATCATAAATTGTAAAACTAAATGGATTCTGTTATTTAGCTTACTAATAAAAAAAACAATTCAAAGATTGTATGAATAGTTCGCAAAAAAATAAATAAAACAACCTGAATAACTTTTCATCTGAAGATTGGATTACCTCGCACCACAGCTGTCATTATCTCATTAATTAAAGTCGTTTATTTAAAATTCGACTTCTCAAGAACTATTCGACCAATTTTGCTCAAATTACATATTTTGCTATATAAAATTGCCTTCTTTAAAATAATGTAAAAATTTCTTTTATTCATATATTTCATATTTTAAATGTTTTCAACTGTTATGAAATAAAATGAGTTAGTTATTAAAATTTTTTGCATTGGATTAATTTGGGTTATTCGCTTAGAAATACAGCATACTCGAGATATGGCAAACTACGCAGAAAGTAAAAATAACTTTAAAAGGTACATACTTTCGACTGCTGACCAGGCCAAACTATTGGGGCCGTATTTTCCAGATTACGGCTCCCCTTATATTTTGAAGGGTCAGAAATTTAAATCCTCATAAAAATCAGGGACCGATCAAGACAAATTCAGGCCCAAGGCCCACCAAATTTTATGGGCCCCTTGCAAAATACTTTGAAATTAAATTACTGAAGAGTAGTTCTAATAATGAAAAAGAATCTATTAAACTGAATGATTAAAGAGAAACATTCTAAAAAAGTTTGAAAGCAGACAATTGAAGATTATTTTTCTAAGATAAAGTATACGTATCTATATAATGAAGTATCTATAACCCCACTAAAAATAATCTTAAGATTTTCTTAAGAAAATGCCATTTTTTTAAGAAATTCTTCAGAAATCTGAAGAATTTCTTAAGATTTAACTCCAAAATACCTCAAGAATTTTTTCAGACATTTTGAATATCTTCAAGGTGAATTAAGTTTGTCTTCAAGAATTCTTAAGAAAATCTTAAGACATATTCCTGAGTTAGAATTACCTTAAAGCATCTTAAGATTCTTTAAAATATCTGCAAAATATAAAACAACAAAACAATGTTATGCCAAAATAAAAATAGTTTGGTGACCACAAACATTTGAAATCAGTGATTTTTGCTAAAAGTCACTGATTAACTGAATTATTTTTTTATTTAGTACTTGAACCAACACACAGCCCACCTGTCATAAGACTTTTTACTAATTTTTGAGGCCCCTCAGAAATTGTGGGCCTAGGCTATAATTAGGCCCTGCTAAAAATTGTATATTTAATCAGAAAAAGTACATATTCGTGTCTGGTTTCGTAATCGTCAGAGCTAATTGGCATAGTTAAAGATCGCTGCTTTAAATCCCAAAAAAGAAAAAAAAAAGAGTTCAATTAAGTGAAGATGCGATCATTAGATTGAAAGTTATTCGAGGTGTTCCATTTTATTTAATTATTTTGTGCACTGTAGAACATAAGGATATATAAGGATTATAGAAACATAAGGACGCCATTTGCAAATCATGCTTATTCAAGAAAATCGTGTAATTTAAATACTTGTCAGAATGAAATGAGCTTTAATAATAAAAATACAATAAATATAGAGCCTGACTAAGCCAGCGGAATATGGGACAGTTGTCCCGGTCCCCCACATCAGAGGGGGCTCCCCATATCGAACAGAAAGTTTATTTTACTTCTCCTTCTTTAATGAATTTTTTTTTAAACAAAATATCAGTACAGTGTAAAATCCGTTTTTCGTTAGCATCTTCATAAATCTATCGTATGAACACAAAAAATCTATATTTCGTAAATCCATGCTTTCTAGAGCGAAATTCAGCTAAATTTTCTCAACTACAAGGGGGAAATTTGGCTAAACAAAAGTACGGGCTCCTGATTGGGTTAATTAAGTCATCGTAATTGCACAAATTTAGCTGAATTTCGACCTAATGTCAGCAAGGATATGAATTTTTTGCAGCGCGAGGACAAAGTTGACGATCCAATATCCCATTGTTGATCGTTTTATACTTTTTTAATTCAGTTAATTTAAAGAAAATAATAACTTTGTTAAGATAACATTACTTTACATTTTTTTAATTATATATTTTGGCTCTTCAGATGAGCTATATCCCTTTAATGATGAACATCAAATTGTCAAAAAATCAATAAAATGGACGGAATATTTCGCTTGACCATTGAAGCAATTTTTGGTTCTAGTTAATTTTCTTGTTATACATCTATAATGGGGTGAAAAATTTAAATACCTCTATAAAGTTCGGTTCCTCATTACTGAAGTGAAGTAGAGGGGGCCCTGAATATATATATATATCAAAATGCTTTTAAAATACCATTTAACTTTTACTAAGTTTTTCAATTTTATCAAAAATAAATAACGTGAATTTTATAAAACCTTACGATTGTGCTTCAGAATAGCTATCTTTTCCAGCCCCTCCAAATTTTTTTTCTTCTTTCCCTTACCAAAGAGACTCGAACTGATGTATAAAAGCAATTATCCTTACAACATTTCATAAATTTATAATAACTTATGTAAATTTGGTTTTAGTACAAAAATTTCAATGACGTTAAAACAGCCTTAAAAAATAAATAATGTCTGATAAAAAGTTCAACAATCAGACATTAAAAATCATAAATAATGTACAAATCGAAAGTTTTATTTTTAAAAGATATTAAAAAGGAAACAATCTGTTTTCTTTGCCCAGAAAGCAACCCCAAATATTCTCCTCTTGGTCGCTTAGAAACGGAGAAATACTATGTTTTACCGTCCATTCAGTTTGTTTTAGATTTTCACCTTCTATGGCGAGATAATTTGGAATTTTCAAACTTTCACCATACATAGAAATCTTTATTGCGACCAAATTTTTATCTACTACCCCGATTTCAAATATGTAAAATATATACATATATATGTTTATTCAGAGAAAGTACGTTCTTTAGTCTGATTTCGTACCTTAATTAATAGTTAGCACTAATAATTTAGCACATTTGAGATCACCATCATCCCAAGGAACCTTTAAGATTGACACTTAGTTTGTGAAAATCCGATCATTAGAACGAAAGTTATTCAGGGTGATCTTTTTTTTTTTTTTGCCGACTTAACATATTAAGGGCAAAGCCCTCCTCTATCGTTAATTCTTCCCCTTCCCAAAAAGTTAGAAAGCTTGAATTAATTTGTAGCATTTCTTTTTGCGATAAATAAAAACGCAAAAATAGTTTCATTTCAATATTAAAGTTAATAATAAATTGGGAAATTAGAGGGTAATCAGCCGTAAAGCTAAAAATATTTTACATCAAATAATATAATGAATTTTATTTATTTAATTTTATAACCGTTGTTGAATGCCTACCAATTCTCAACTACGTAGCCTTGAAATTTTGGAACCAATCCAGAACTGCCGACCCACTTTTGGGTTTATGACTAGTAATACAAAAAATTTGACTTGAAAGAAAGAAAAAAAAAGGATGCATTTGCGTGATAAATTTTTTTTTAGATATTTTACTCGTTCACGTAGCACATATCGTTTAATTTCACAACTATCAAATAAATTTGGTAACACAATTATAAATTTAGCAACACAAATTAGAAATTTTTTTTTTATTGCTTTCAATTTTCAAGTATAAAATGATTTCAAAATTTTTTTATTTTTTTTTACGATAACAGAAACGTATTATTAAATGTAAAAAGAAAAAAAAAAAGGCCCTGTTTGCTTGTTTAATTTTGAACTATAGTTTCTAGTTCCATGGCTTTTATTCTTTCTGTTTAACGAATACTGGACAACTTTAGTACAAAAATTAAAATTTCTTTTGCATTTTTACATCCATTCTTGCAATAAGAATAGCTCAGTTCATAATTTTAATACTTCGGATGACATTGGGCTCTATTATTTCTGAATACAGACTTCGTCAAAAGGCCTGCTTGAAGTATTTAAAAAAAAATCACACACTCAAACGAAAAAAGGAATTTTTTTGTTGTCTTAACACATATCTAGTTATCTTAACATACCATTTATTTCATTACTATTATTCCGGAGAACCTTTCTTTCAAAAACTGCACTACCATTTTGAGTTACACACTTAACAAGTCTTGGACCCGAACACCAACCAGATGTTTAGCACAACCATGGCAAGAAGATTTAAGGGCAAATCAATACACTATTCGATTAGTTTAAATCGAAGTCATTAAGTATAGCTTTTAATACAATTCACGGAAGGAATGCAAAGAACATTTTTTTCCAGCAATAACTACATATCACGGAGGTGATTGTAAAACAAAGTGAAAAACACTGAAAATTCTTCTGCAAAAAATCGTTATCACGATACAAATTTATAAAATGTACATATAATTTTTTAAAAGATTTATAATATCGATGGAACCTTAGTCGGATTATAAATTTTGAATAGCAAACTTTCGCAAATCAATGGTCTTCAGATAAACGAAATTTGTCGAAAAATCACATGCCCTGCTCCTAGTTATTAGAACTGGAAGAACTACAAAAATCCAGAAAATCCGCGGTACTCCCAGAATACAATTACTTGATTTCAGATAACATCTACTCAGGGAAGGACGATACATAAACCCCGAAATTCAGGGGTACTCCCGGGATACAATAGATAACTCAGATAACATCTACTCATCGAAAAAAATCAATATTTTACTGCAAGAAACTGAAATAAGTTTTTTTTCTTTTACCCAAATTAAAACATAACACTAAGAAAATAAGCAAACACAATTAAAAAATCTCAAGTTTTTATAACATTGAATTATTTTTAGCAATACAAAATCTTCATTTTTCAGTTTATGTATAAAACATTATATATATATATTTTGCTGCTATTACTCAATACATACTGCAGCCAGTTAAAAATCATCTGGCTTTCTACAGACGAAAATAAATTTTTTTTGTATTTTCTAGTTGGATTTAATTTACAATAAATATATGTCACAGAAGTACTTATATAAACTTTTAATCTAATATCATCCAAAAAGAAAATACTCTGCACAAAATTGCAGCTACTTAATTTACAGTCCTTTTTTTACATTTTGATATCACAATAAGAAGTAGAAATACAATTGACATAGTAGTCTAAAATTAAATTATTTGTGGTATATATCTCAGCTTCTCATTATTTCATCGTGACAGTATGTTGTTAAGTATATGATTATACACTTTTTTTTATTTTGTTTAAAAAAAAATTTACATGAATCACCAGTAGGAACAGTACTGCTTTTTATATATTCTTATTTATTTTTTTTTACAAAGTTTACTTTATTTTTAACATAAAAACAGTATCAAAATTCAAGAGTGGCAAATAGACTTAACAGTTTGGACAAAAAGAATGCCAGGAAACAAATTTAACAGTTTAAATAATATTGTTGACGACAACCCCCCTCTTATGTCGCTACAGAAATAAAACAGATACTTAACTTGAGCAAAATGGCCGAAAAAAATAATTAAAGGCACAACCTTGAGACAACATACACAATTTTAAGAAAAATTAACAATTCATAAATTAGCCTATTTATTGGCAGTTATATACAATGTGTCATTTTACATAATTTAAAGAAAACTAAAATCTTTTCATGTCTTAAAAATAATCGGGTCTTTCTTTTTCAGTGGTTCTCATCATTTATTACGGATCAAAACCAATGAAACGGCCGACACGGTTTTTTAAGAAGAAAGTCACATGACCATCCCAACATCAGAAGCAATTGTTCACATTAAATATAAATAAACAAGATAAAACTTGCACCCTTTTAAACACATGCACAAGTCAATCATTCAATAACAAAAGGAATATTTTTTTTATATAAGATGCACCAGTTGCTGCAAATGTTTCTTTTAATTTACAAAACGGGGGATAACTTTGTTTAAATTGCACAGACAATTCATTTTTCCTATAGTAAACTCGGAATAGAGATCCAACTGATTCCTTAGTCGCATCAGGATTCATTACATAAGTTTGTGTCATACACAAAATAACTGCTTTCGAGTCTTTATCTAAGTAAAATAATTTAGAGCATAAGAATCGTCATTCATCAGTCACAGAATCACCAGAATCTGTTTCCTTTAGCCAAGTGAAAAAGGATTTGACAGAATGTAATGCTACGCCTTTGCCTTCCACTTCGTTTATGTCATCACTTTGTTCCCAGTTTTTAAACGATTCTTCGGTGATAACATCATCGTCGTAGAGGATGTCGAAAATCTGCCTTAGAATTCCTAAAATATAAAAAAAAATTGCTTCATTAGCAGGGATTGTAAGTTATAAATTCATACAGCAAAATAAAAATTCAAATAACATATTTCTTAAAAGACTATGGTGTCCACATAAAAAAAAAAATAAACAAAATAATTGCACTTAGTACCACACCCTAAAACATGAAAATAGATGTCAATACTATGAAAATAGCTGCCTAAATAAGAAAAACAATTTTTCAATTATATGACTAAAATTTTATTAAATGGCGGAATTGTCANCGTTAGCCAACCTGCTGTGCAAGTGGTCCTTCACTCAAAAAGGTTGTGCACCCCTAATTAAATGGCTTAATTGTCACATACCAGGATCCATTTAGTCAAGTTGGTAGCAAATATGATAATTTTAATTTAAATGTTAGTGCTAGCATTAAATGAAATACTTTTAATTACTAGAATTTATTCTAGAACAGGGGTTTCCAACTTACACGTGGCTGGGGTCGCAATTAAAAACAACGGTCAAATGACCGGCCACAACTTTATCGAAATTTTATATAGGACTCTTATGTTTGAAGGAACATTAAATATTAATGTCAGATTTTTATCTTAAGTTTTTTTTTAATATTAAAAAGCAAAATAGCAAGCATTACAAATAATGCTTGTTACGCATCGTTTTGAATCCTCTTAATCAGAAACTTAGTGACAAGATTTTTTTCTCTTTTAAATTGAATTCTGTGATGAATTAAAATTTTTTGACTTATTAAGAATTATAGCAAAAAAAAAAAAAAAAAAAATCGAGCATGTGAAATAAATTTTTTTTCTCCTGCTCATCCATTCAAGGAATTTAAATAAAACATGATATTCATTTCCTCTTTTATGCATTTTAAAATTTACAAATGTAAATAATTTCGTTCAAAACGAGTGGTTTCAAAAAGTTAAATGGGAGAATTTCTTAGGGAAAATTTCTGATACACACATGCTAAATTATATTCACAAAATACAAAAGAGCAACATACAAGATTATTTTTATATTTGAATAAATATTTTGTTGGATGCAAAATCTGAGAAAGAATTTTTTTTTGCACCGTTTGTATGTTAAATTTCACAGAAACAAAAAAATTTGGTTCTTTAAAATGAAAGAAAAGTATTTTAAATCCATATAGATTTTTTATGAAAATTGTTCGAAAAAAAAGGACAACTAATATTTTAGTTCGCGGGCCAGATGCGGCCTGCCAGTTGGAAACCACTGTTCTAGTATATTATAGAAAAAAATACTTTTTCATTAAAAAAAAAACATACTCATAATTGATTTAGAATATATATATACATATATATTTTGTGAAAAGTGATGATTCAAATTCAAAATTCACAAACCGTAAAAAACGTTTTATTATTTTTTAAAAAATAATAGCGTATAAAAATTGTTTTTTCGTAATACCATGTCGTGCAGAATTTCATAGCAATAACCGCTGAAACGGCGATCGATTAACAATGGAATCTGTGCAAATTAAGCACATTAAAAAGTTGTAACTGAAATTTGCAATTCAAAATTTTTTATTTTTGAAAATTTTTTTATCGTGTTCAGAAGCTACTGTGGGCTGCAGGTTGTCAATCCTATTTATGCTTAAAAAAACATCGCTAGCAGTACAGAAAAGTCTCCCAATAGTCTCCTTTTCTTTTTGGCCTTTTCAGGCAATAAAAGTTGCCAGCAGCCTCAGGTGGAAAATAGTTGCAAATAGCCCCATTTTTGTCACCTGTGACAACCCTATAACAATACTTTCATTTCTTGGAAGGAAGAAAGTATCAAGCAGTGTTCCTTCAAAATAAAAATACCTGACTTTTACAGGAAAATGTCAACAAAATAAGAGACTATATGCTATAGCATTTTTCATCTCTGGGTCTTGCCACCACTATTGCTATCAAGACTTTAAAACCCCAAGTTACGCAGAAACGCATCAAAGAAAGTGTCATGGAATTTTCAATAAAATAACAGATTTTATTAGGGACATTTTTAGGCGAAGAGTTTAGTTTTGATGCAGCATGCAAGTCAGAAAGTGAAATTCAAAATTATAAATATAAGCTCTTACATATAGCAAAGTAAAAAATATGTATATAAATTTTAATCTAAAGAAGATTTTTTTAAACCATTATTAATAATTACTCAAACTGTTAACAATCAACATGCTGCAGTACTGGCAATAGCACCATACCATCTGTTGTGGAATAAGAGATGTATTTTTGCCACCAGCGGATATTTCATTGCAGCTTTGTTTTGTGCTTTAATTATAGTTTTTTCAAATATGGAGAAGTTTAAGAACAGGGTGGCCAAACAAATCAGATTTCAAATTTCCCTGATTTTTCCAGATAAAAATCTTAAAATTTCCAGGTTTTTATTTCTTTTTTCGTATAAAGTGTAGGATGTGTACAAGAAAAGTGTCTATATTATAAAATATTTTACTCAAAATGTTATTTTTTTAACATATCATCTTGCAAAATCATCTTACAAAAAAAAAAATTCATGGCATAATGATTTGTACTATACAAAATCTTGCAAGGCAAAGTTTTCATAGTCTCTTATAAAGTTTTTATAAAACTTTAGAGACCATGAGATTACAAGATATATGTCATAAAATCATATGTAAGTGGATCAATGAATGAATTACCTTTAGGTTGATTTAGTTGATTCATTAGTGACTGAATAGCATATAAAGCTTGAAGTTCTAGATTTTCATTATGATCTATATACCGTGTTAGTATAGANCATCAGAACAAACTTGAGCCATAAATGGATTCAGCCCAAGGACAGAATTTAAAAACAGAAGCTAATATCCTAATCCCTTTTTCCACCTCCACCAGAATCTTATCTAACTTGCACAGTCCCATAGTGGTCAAAGGTTTCTACATTCGTTTAGCAACCGTGGGAGAATTTTATGTGGCATTCCAGTTTAACACTGTAATGGAGCAAATTTTGATGCAAGCAAAGTATCAAGTATGATGCAAGCAAAGTTGATGATATTTCAACTGTTTGGTGATACATTTCCGTTTAAAAACAACATGGGATAATGGACGAAATAATTTAAATTAAGAAAATTAGCAAATAATTTAAATTAGTAAAATTAAAAAAATTATCAAAGAAAAAAATTTCCCTTTACTTAAAAATTTCCTGATTTTTCCAGGTTTTTATCTAAATTTCCCTGATATATCCAGTATAAAAAAATTCCCTGATAATTCCAGGTTTTCCAGGTGGGTGGCCACGCTGAAGAATATACCTCTTAAGAATATATCTTCGTTAAAAAACAGGAGACTTGGAAAGTATGGCAGAGAAATATTTAACCGTAAAAATACCAAACGATATGCTATTCAATAATCAAAGTTAGATTTAAAATAAATTGAAGAAAAAAAAAAATGCATGGCATAATGATTTGTACTATACAAAATCTTACAAGGTCTTGATCAATGAATGAATTACCTTTAGGTTGATTTAGTTGATTCATTAGTGACTGAATAGCATATAAAGCTTGAAGTTCTAGATTTTCATTATGATCTATATATCGTGTTAGTATAGATATCCTTTTTTTCAATTTCGTAACATCTAATTCACACCCAGAAGAAGCATCTAAAACAAAACAAAAAAATTATTTAAACAAGTTTTCTAACAGAAAAAGAATAGAAGGGGCATGTACATTAAAAATAAATACCTTTTATGGCATTTTCATGGACAGCAGACACCAAGGCACGGATAAATTTAGGTTCTGTACACTCAGATACATTGGCCTGAAAAAAATTAAACCATTTGAGCACAGATTTATAAGAGGGAAAAAAATAGTGTAATATTAAACAAGAGAGCACAATATTTCAGACCAAAAATTCCAAAGTATAAATAATTATAAGAAACAAATGAATACTGAAAAATAAATGACTACATAAAAACTGCATTTTTTTTTTGTTTTAGGCAGCAAAGTTAAGCAAAATAAAGAAACCAATTTGCTTAATAGAAATTTTTGAAAGTACTTTTTATCTTATTTAACAGATATTGTAACACTTTTTCTTCAGTAGAAAAAAGAAAAAAAGAGACAGTTCTGATGGAAAAACTGGAGAAACATGGCTAATTTCGGAATAAAGTTATTTAAAATTATAGCACATGTTTTCGAAGGTCTCGAAAGCATTTGCAATTTTCTAAAACAAAACATATATACACGAAATAAAAAATTTTAAAGAAAATTTAAAAAACATTTCAAATATATTTTAGCATTTCCAAAAACAGTGAACATTTTTATGCCATGAGATAATTTATAAAATTATGAAAATATCACAAAAATTTAAATTAGTTAATTGCTTAAATATATGAAAACCTTTTAATTTTTAGTTTTCAATATTATATGTTAAAACATTAAAGTTCTCATTTGAATAGATTTCTACACTTTAATACTATCAATGATTCTCAATGAAAATGCACATGTTAACAAACTTCATATTCATAATTTTTAAAAAAAACCCATGAAATGTTATTTAGAAGGTTGCAAAATATAAAGCTATTTATTTCACCTTCCTCTTGCAATTAAAAAAGACACAATTAAAAATTGCATTAATTAATGAATAGTCAATCTTGTTCCACTACACTTCACTGCTTTTTCTTGTTATTATTCAAAAAGTTAATTACATTAATCAACATATCACAAAGAATAAACAATATTTACAATAACAAATGATATTTAGCTTGACTTATTTCTTCCTTTACATATTATGAATCTTTTATTGTTTTATTTTAAAATTAAAAAACAAAATACATCAACTTACATCTATCCAATCAAATATTTCTTCACTTTCGTCAGTTTTTTCAAGCAAATCAAGGAGATTCTTTTTTATCTCTTCAATTGCCATTGGCGTGGTAGGCTTTACTTTAGTAGGACAAATTGTGAATTCCAATTTCTAAAAGAAAGTAATACATCATAACTATGCAATTTCAAATTGATTCTTTTGTCACTAGTTTATAAAAATCACACTACTTACATGCTTTAGAATAAATTCATCTATTTTAGCATCGTCCCCTAAAAAGTCTGTCCACTGTAGCTTAGATTCTCGCCATAGCTCTCCAAGTTTGATAGTTCCCTGAACAAAAAAGAAATTTCAATGATTTAACTAATTTGGACACATTTCTTACATCCAATTGTGGAAAAAAAAATTTCTTTAAGACAAAACCACTGATTTATAAATTTCAGTTAATTTTCTTCATCTCAAGACAACAAAACATTCATATACACTACAATAAAACCTGAAGTAACCATTAGAATAACCAAACGTAATTATTATAACAATCTACCATTACTAAACAATTTTTGTTATTGTCTAGTAAAGATTAGCTAAACTGTGAGAGTGAAAAAAAGTTAGGCTCAATTTTTTTTCTTACTTCCAGGAATTCTAAAACAAAATCTGCCAGCCACAAAAAATATCAGATACTGTACTATTCCCATATACCTAATTAGTGACCATATATATGCAAATTTTAAATGTGGTATATGTACATTAAATTATGAAGTTAAATCATTATACCATTCTAAAGGCAACGATCTAGTCTTTACTTTCAAGATAGAATTGTTCATGTTTTATCCTATAAAGTAGATTTCATTTCTACAACGCCATCTTTCCAAAGCCATGTTTTGAGCAATTCAAATTTCATATTGTTATATCAACATTTTAAAAATCATATAATATATGTAGCAACAGCTAACTCAACTATCAAAACACAACATGGATTTAGAATGAAATTCTTGTGTATCCAGAGTGTCTATAAGCGATTACTTAAATGAACATTTAGAACACCATAAAAATATACAGGAATTTTGAAACCATTACTCGAAAAGGGAGAAATCTAAGATACATCCTCCTACTTAGCAATTCTTTTGTAATGAATCGGACTGTATAACAAAATCTAAAGTGCATAAACCAGAGGTCAGTAACTAACAGCCATAACCCGAAAAATATGTGCCTGCTGCGTTAGTTGGCTAAATCATTTAGCAATTTGGATTGTAATTAAGAAATTTTTTTCTATCCATTAAAGTTCTTAATTTAAAAAAATAATATCAATAAATTCAAAAGCATTTTCAAAAACTTTACATAATCATGATAAAAAACTAGTCTCTAATAAATATCGAAGAGAAAATTGTGAAAATAACGAGTTGTTTGTAATTTATAACGACAATCGACACTGCAAAGAAAAAAGCATCTCAAAAGATGGAAAATTCACTTTTTACAGATCCTGAATAATAATAATAAAAAAGAACCTTTAAGGGCTTTTAAAAAACGCAAATCAAAAATAAGCACCTTAAAAACACTACACCCTGACAGCTTATTGAGGTAACCGGGTACTATGTTACGCAGAGAAAAAATGGGTTAAAAATTAAGATGGATAAAAATAAAAAAAACAAATTGCTTACTCTTCTTTTAGCTGCACAATGCAGGGTTGCTGATACCAACAGTCCAGATACAAGGTTTTAGGACATCTTTAAGAACATCTAGAGTAAATTTGTTATCTTCTAGGATAGGCTCAAGGATCTCTCCAATGTACTCCCATATCATGGGAATATCTAGTGCGAACTCATCTATCGACTCTAACACAACTTCGAACCTAGAAATGAAACATTTATGAAACAGGGCACTGTAATTAATGGAGAAGGGAGAGTAATTAATTAATTAATAGCAATAATTAATTAGTGTAATTAATGGAGTAAGGAAAAATAAATTAGCAGAAGGTAATTGGTCTAGGACAGTTTAAAGTTAAACACACCCTTCAACAGGTTAGAAAATCAAAATCCAGGGAGTCAAAAATAACATACTTACCATATATGTTTATATATATTTTTTTTACGCCATGTGAAGTATTATAAAAGGAAAAGAAACTTTATAAAATTTAAACTAAGTTTAATTCTTAACTCTCATTATATTTTATTACATGCATAAAACAATTAAAAAAAAACTGAAAAATATATGTTACATTCCTTTCAAGATTCAGCAAACAAAAATTTATTATGGCCGTTAGACTATTTAAATTTTAATAAGTTTTTTTATTATTTTTTTTTAAACTTGCGTATGTACTGGACACACTGCATGGTCTTGAACAATCTTGAGCTATCAATTTTCTGATAAACTCCAAATTTAAACCATTCTTTTATGATTATGGCATTTTGGGCAGATATTGCAACAAATTTATTCATAGGTTTTAAAATAATCGAGCATTTGAAGAATAACTTTTTGATGCACTCTATTTGCACTACTTATGTTGTCTATGAGGATTTTTAGATTGCTTTTCGTTTTAAACAGCTATTGTTACGGATTTTCACTTGGTTTTTAAAATTTTGATTTCATTTTGCATATAGCAGGGGTGATTGTGAGCATAACTCAGAAATTCTGAAACTTTCCTGAATAAAATCATTAATGACGCATTTCAAAAAAATTTATATCCTTATAAATGTAAATCATTGATATTTTCAAAACACGAAACTCTAATGAAATTATACGCAGCATATTTTTAATTAATAATTACTTATAAGCTTATACTTATCTATATTCACATTTATTATTCTACCAGAAAAAAATATTTACAAATGAAAGAGATAAAGTATAAATTCTAGTTCTAATATTTTCAAATAAAATATACAAGAATTTCTATACATAAATCAGGGATGCGATTGGTCAAAAGGACAAAAAAAGTTGAATTTCCACGTGAATACATTTTGCGTTGTCAATAGAAAAACAGTCTCCTTTATAGTAACTAATTCAAGAAAAAAATTTACTTTTTACAGGATAATTGATTTTAAAATCGTCTGACAAACAGCAATCTTGGACTGTAAAAATTCGTGAATATGAAACACGAAAATTGATTTTGAAATCACGTGACTATGAAACTCGATTTTAAAGATGGGAAAATACAAACTGCGTTATAGAATTTTTAAATCGCGTAAATACAAATCACGATTCATAATTTTTAGTTTCGCGTTAATGCGAATCCCGATGCCTTACTTTAAAATCGCGTATAAATAGGAAAATCGATGTTTGATATTATAAACGCATGAACAAATAACATAGGTTTTTAAAGACATGTAAATACAAATCGTGATATTTGATTTTTAAATCACGTAAATAGGAATCGCAATATATGATACTCAAATCGCGTGAATAATAATCGTAACGAGCAACTTTTAAATCACGTAAATACGAAAATCCATGTTTAATATTTAAATCGCATGAATAAAAATCGAAATGTTAGCAGATTCCAGGCTTGAAACTTTTAAAAGGCTTGTTTGAAGAAGCGACGTCTGATTTACGAAAATAGCTAATATAAGTAAAAATGAGAAGAGTTGGCAATGCAGTTTGAATTTTCTGTATATCTTTGAAAATCGGAAATATATATAATTATTTTACTTTAAAGGCTGAATTTTCTGAAAAAGCGGAATATTTATTTAAAAAAAAGTGAAACTCTTAGATGATCGGAGTTTTTGATAAAAAGGCTGAAATTCGAGAGACAGAAGTGAAAAAAGTGGAAATTCGCTAAAAAGCTGAAAAATCTCATCCCTGATAAATGTGATCAATGATTTCTGGAAACTTCTGGACATTGGATTTCCGGAGCACAATCATCTCTGATATAGCTAAAACTGTTACAATTCGAGAATTCAAATTTGAATAATCATGTAACAAACAAATACACCTCAAAATAAAAATGCTTGATTTTTTCAAACAGTGACTCGTAATCACAAAACTCTGGATCGCGCTACCGTGATATCCATGTTTTTTGTTCACACAAAAATGGAAAACGGATAAGAATCGAAAGTCTGGTAAAAATCATTAAAAAGTGTAAATTAGGGAAACAGCAGAGAATTCTCTTCCTGTTTTAGTTATGTAAATAGAAAAAGAAAAATTTGAGCAGAAAATAATTAAGGTAGAAATACTTGACAATATTGTAAAAAAAGTTATTAAGCATTGCATTAAAGTTTTAAGGTCGATCTTCATTATCAATAAAAAATAAATTAAAAAAAAAAAAAAAACTATCAACCTACCCTTTTTTATAATGGTCGAAGGTGATAATATTTTGTTTGACTAAGTTAAAAAGTAGTTGGCCAAGGGAATGGCGCGCTTGACTAGAGCGCTCTAGGACTTGGTTGATTGCAGCATTAATGAACAAATGGATTGTACTAGGAGAAGCCAGCTCCGTGACACACCTGATTGCTTCCTAAAAGAGTAAAAACAATGAATGGCATATAAATATATTTTCTTATAGAAATGAAGAGGAATGGATCTTAATTCAAAATAAAAATTATGTTTTATTTTTTACTCTATTTTATCTCACATTTAACATAACTCTTTTATTTAATTTAATAAGGAGAAAGGTACAAATCAAAAATTGGAAAAATCCTTTTAAATTGTTAGCCGGAAATTCTTCCGAATACATTTAGCGTTGTCATCCAAATCTGTAAAAAAAAATTCTCTGTGTTTTGTCTAAGCTATACCAGGCTAACTATACTAGTTTTAATTGCCAGAAAAACTTTTAACCAACTTAAAACAAATAATGCTATAGTAAATAAAACAGTTTAGTATAGCAGAAATATCATCCATAAATATCCCACAGAATGAGCATTGAGTGGTCACTACTTTTTAAAAGACGAAAACAAGAAAAAAATTCCTTATTATTTCCTAGTTAGTAAAGAAAAATTCCCAGTTATTTTAGCTGATTCTTAAATTCCCTGCATTTTCCAGGTTTTCCCTGTGGAGCAGCAACCCTGACATTCTTTCAGTTTTATAATGAAAAATCCTATAATATATAACCAAAAGTTAACTAAAACATACCTCAAAATCATTATTATGTAGAAATTCATCAACCAGTGGCCTAGCTTTAACTTCCATCTGATCAATATTATATTCTGGACCTTTCAACGTCAGTTCTGGAAGAATAAAAGGTTAGAGGTTAATAATCAATAATTTATTGCCAATATCAGCAGCTTTTGAAAAAGCTAATACATAAAATAAAAAAGCATACCCATTGAATCAGCTCCCTTGCCATTGAGTTGGAGTTCAGGACTCTTTTTTATTTCAGTAGCTTTAGTCTCACTAGAAGTACCACCTCTAACCAACCCTTTCACTGCTTCTATCACATTATCTCTTTCCTTAGAGGTAGATGGAGTTTTCCTTATGGCAGGAGGCAGCTGCGTATTTCGCCCACGACTAGATTCACGACTTGATGCAGCAGATCTAATAGGAAGAAAAAAGGTATTTAAAGATACATCATGAAATGCATGTGTTACAAAAGATAAGTAGACTATTAAGTTTCTTAGGCACTTACCTTTGAGATCCTCTTCTGTTTTCAATAAAACTAGGATTGGAAGTTTGCTCAGCCAAAGCAGAATATCTAAAAAAAAAATTAATATTTAACATATGATAAAAAAAATACAAAATTTTTTTATTTCTATGACTGCCAACTTTCCTTCCAATCTGTTCATCCCGTGACTAAAATCTTCTACGGTTAAATGCGCTTTACATCTTTTTTTTTAAAGGGAAAAAATTAGGGAGATTTTAAAACCTGTGCACTAATAAAACACCCCTTTGCTTGGAAAATGGTTTTCAAGACCACATAGATTTATGAGAAAAGCAGCAGAGATTGCTCAAGTTAAGTCTAATGCGAATTTAAGACAGTCACAGGCGTTTGGAAACCCAATTAAAAAGTACGGAATTTCAAAAATAGTGAAGAAATTCTTAGCAATAACCGTAAAAGAAAGTGCAAATCAAATAAAATGAGTTCTTGCAAAATTGCATGTTGTAATAAAAATCTGATTAAAAAAAGTGTAGAAATTAGTAGAGTTAATTACAGACAAAACCAGGAAAAAGAAAGCATAATATATGAATAGGAATCAATCGAACATGTCAAAAACTGTTGCCATGTGAAAATTCGCATGTGCCAAAGTATTAAAATTAATGGGATTTTAAAATGAAGTAAAAATTCAGAACAATAACTGACAAGAAACAACTGACAACTAGAAAATAGTTCATTCGAATATATATGTTTTTAAAATAATGTCTTAATAAAATAAAATAAAATGAGTAAAAAAAGGGGGAGGGGAAATATCGGCAACAATAACTGCCAAAAGAAAAGATAAGGATTTTGTACCAAGTAATTATCCAAGTTTGTATCAAGTAATTTGTATACTGGCTTTAAAATCCAAGATTTTATTCTCTTTTGAATATATTATCATATTGCACTATGAAAAGCGCATGAGTAACTACAAAGCAGGAAATAAAAATTTAGAGAACTGGTTTCAAAAACCCAGAAGATTTTAGTCCAGACACCGAAAGGCGAAAACGGTGCAAAAATGCAGAAAGTTTTGGCAAAACGTGGAGTAGTTGTTCAGCTGTATTTGAAATGTAGAAAAATATAGAAAATAAAAATTATTACCTGTTTGTGAGAGCTGTCTTCTCAGGATCAAAAGAACCTGCAGGAGTCTTGGTACCACCACTGCTACCTCGACCCCAACTTTGCATCGCTCTTCCTGGTCCAAGCCTTATGCTATCTACTTCATCAGGCTAGAAATAGTAAAAAAATCAAGTTTTTTATGCTACTCACTAAAAAAATGCTTAAATTAAGTTTAAAAAAAAATTTAAAAAAAGGCACACAGAATGTTTTAGGAAAAATAAAAATTAAGTCACCAGTACAGAAGTCATAACAATGAAGTGTAGTTTAATTTGCTTAAGATTTTGTAATCTAAAATCCTTCAAAAACACAATCAATTGGTTTTATATATCTTATTTATTTCAATTGCTTAGAAACACCTTATTAAATCAAAAATAAAATGGTAAAGCCATTAAGTGCGACATATAAGTTCTCTACACTGGAAAATGCAAATTTTCCAAAATAGTGTGACTTAAAAACTTGTCTATTTGTATATATTTATTAATAACCACATTATTAAAATAGCCTTATATATTAAAAAATAGTCATATATTAAAAACCACACATTTAACATACCGTAGTTATTACCAGATTAAACATTAAAGTCATTTCAAAAGCAGCACATCACTAGATTTCTGATGTCACACAATCAGTTACGATCGAGGAAAAAAAAAATACTTTCATTAAATTTTAAGAACTTTGTGGCAGAATTCTTTCTGGCTTTCTGCGATTAAACTCAAGCACTAATATCTTTCAGCAAAATACTTTTGATAATAACAAAAGATGTATGTTACTAATTTAAGGTAACAAAAAAACATTTATTTATAAAAACATATTTTTAATTGAACATGTAATATTTTTTTTATTATAATATTATAGGCGATTTTTAAAATTTTGCTGGGGAGAAAAACTCACTACTAATTATTATTTCCTACATTGCATTTTGTAAATCCTATATTTGCATTTTGTAGAAAAAATAATAAAAAATCATGCAATTTGTAGCAGTTAATGCTGAAATCACTCGAATCTGAATATTCAAAAAGAGGTTACTCAAACGAGTGTTTCGTTTCAGGGTTTGATAGGTGTAATAAATAATTTCGGATTTTAAAAATTACATGGAAATCAAAAGCAATAACTGCCAAGAAAAACGAAAGAATTGTTGCCTTATAAGGTAAATTCTCGAATGCACAATTCGAACTTCCCATATCATCTGAAATATATTGGGATAATTAAAAACGACGTGAAAATCAATAACTACTGGAAATATAATCGAAGCACTACATGGATATCCGTTTCTATTGGCGTAAGTTGAAGTTGACAAAAAGTGATAATTGAAATGCGTTTAATTGTAAATTTCCGCAGAAAAAACAATTGTTTCTTCCCATCTACTGCAAAACCATGTAACTTTCTGAGACAATGTCGCCGTAATTCTGCCACGGGATTTAATAAATAACAAAATATAAATATCAAACTAACTAAATATAAAAACCACCAGTTTAGAAAGGATATTATGAATAGGAAATTGAACTAAAACTATTTTAACTTGATTTACCATGTAACTAATGTACTATTAACAAAATAAACTTACCTTAGTCAGTTTTAATTTATTAGGATCAACAAGACTATAGCTGCCTTTACTACTTTTTGTAGAAGACGTCCACCCATCTTCAGATGTTCCCATGTTTCGAGCTAAACAAGAAAGAGGTAAATAAGGTACAGGAAAATAGTTTTTGAGTCATACTGCCTATAATTTAGGTAAAATAAATTTCTACAATAACACATACACATCTAATGCAATGTTGAAAACTAGCCACAGTTAGAACTAAATTCTATTGATTTAATTAACTCTATTAATAAAATATCATTACTTCCAAAAACATAAAAGAATAAGAATAATATTAGATTTTTTCCCCTATAATAATTGTACAAATGTAAAAAACCCAATTATAAGCTATTCATGCTTCTGTAATAAATTAGTTCATTTCCTCTAATGACTTAACAATTATTGAAAAAAAATTTGCCAACAAAGAATTTTTACAATTTCTAAATTAATGAACATTAAAATAAAGGGTAACTCATGTTCCTTTTTTTCCGCAGCAAATCTCTTTAATTGGAAAAANAAAAAAAAAAAAAAAAAAAAAAAAAAAAAAAAAAGGCAACTCCGAATATTTTTATTTAAAAAAAATAAGTGGGTCAGAAATAATATATATATATATATTTTTAAAAAAAATAAAGGATTAAAAAGCGTAATACATTGTTATCGGAAAGACAACCATTACTTAAATGCGTATTTAAAAGTACTTTCAATTTCGCAATATATGAAATGTATAATGCTCTTACTGCATTTCGATGGACAAGAGAAAAAATTTACAACTGAAATTTTTTTTGTAAGTTTATCTTAACACTATTTTCCAAATAGTAATTGGACACAATAATAATACTAATTAAAAAAAAAAAAAAATGAGAGCAAAAATGCTGAGATTGAACCAAGACAATTTGTCTGAACAAAGAGTAATCAGTAGATGGTTTCTAGATTGAACGAAAACCCGAAAATAAACACCCTTATGCACTTTTTAAAAACGCTGAGCATCATGCAATGTTTTAAGGTATGTTAATATATACACACCAGTATTTTTTCTTCTGTCTCGGTCATCGGGTACTCTTTTTTGGAAGGACATGTTCTGCAGATTCTGTTGTTGCTCACGTGCTTCACGTTCAGCTTCTTTGTGAATTTGGTCAATGGTTTTAGGATTGTTTTCATCTCTTCTAGGAACCCAATCATTCTAAAAATACAAAAACAAATTTAAATACTCAATTTTAAACACAAACAAAACTTAAAGTCATTTGATAGAATATTTAATAACTTACCCTTTTTAAATCTATAACATCTTGCAACATGAACCTGACCCTAGAACTAGTTAAACGTTTGTCTACAATCTTTTGCATTTGGTTGAAATAATTTTCCATCATCTGAAGAGAGAGAGATTGTCAAAATATGGGTTTAAAATGAGAGAATATAAAGTATTTTGAGAAAATATGCTAAAATATGTTTAATTACAATACATATTACTTCATCAAAAACAGATTATGAAAATTAAACATACCAGTTTATGTAATTCCTTTTAGTAAAAGCTTAAATGAACAATTTCAATTCATTGTTTATTATTTAATTGAAGATAAATTTTTGAATTGTAATATATGGCAGCAAAACACAAAAATGTAAATATTGTTAACTTCTGAATAAAGTATTACATACTGAAATATTTCAAAATTAGGCCATAAGCATGTTATAAAAATAACCTGAATTAGGATGCTTTTTTCTCGTCAAAAGTTTATAAGTAAACAAAAAAATAAACAAAATGCAAAAATATATGCCAAGACTTAACATTACCTTCGCAAATTAACTAGTTTTTGCCAAAGGGCACGGGAAAAATATTATAATGTTAAGTTGGCCCCCCATGATTAGCAAAAATTCCACCTTCTGGAACTACACATTGCAAATTAATTCTTAAGTAAATAACACAAGTGTAAAAAATCTAATGAATCACTACTAATTATTAGAAAACCTCCCAATTGGATCATGCAATCCTAACAGGTTTTGACACCTCATTTTGACTTACTGCCAGTTACCTGACATATATCATTTAGGTTTTTCATTTTATCCTCATTTAAATTAGATAACACCAATACTTTTACCATACCATACTTTTTCGAAAAGGAATACAGAATAATCTGTAAAAAGATTTATTGTTCTACGAATCGGAAAATATGTTTAATAAGCTTTAAAAAAGATTTTTTTTTACTTAATTTGAAGATAAGTTGTTTTTTTTAAACTTACATTTTTTACAAGAATACTTTTCCTCACATTTTATTACAATTAAACACAGATCAAAATGAAAACAAAAAGCACTTACACTTTCTTTTGAACCTTTAACTTTTCGATCATCTAATTCTTTACCTATTGTCTTCAGCAATTTACACAAGCACTCAAGTGATTCTTCATCTCCTTGGGAGATGAGCCTCTTTATACATTCATGCATGATTGGTTCAGTTAACATTCCAAGTTTAAAGAGTTCGCCAATAAATCTAAAAAAAAAAAAGACAATTGTAATATACTTTAAATTTGTTTTTATATACATAAAACTTATATAGAATTGAGAATATTTACAGCCAATGTTTAGAGCTAGGACGCATCTTCATATTTATAGATTTTAAATTTAAAAAACAGAGTAAAGAAAGAGTTGAAACAATAAAATAGCTGAAAAAAATACAAAAGCAAATAAATGTTTTCCTTTTTTTTTATGCAGAATTTTATTTTAAAGATACTTTTCTCGTAGGAAAGAAATACTCCTGATTTTTAGGTTTTCATTTCGGAATAAAAAAACTAAGCCAATGTCTGGTATACTTCTGCTAGAATTTTAAATTAATAAAAAATAAATAACAAAAATACTTAAATCACAGAAGTTTAAAAGATAATTCGCTCTAGAAATGTTTTTTCTTTCATTTCTTAAAAGAACACCATAATTTTTAAAAAACATGATAAAAACATTTTATATTCTAATAAAATATGACTCACTGTGAGTGATGATTTTGCTACGAATTTGAACAAATTGGGGGGAAAAAATTAGATTTTTCGGCAATCTAATTCCATGTCTTTCCAGGATTTTTTTTAAAAAAAATTTGTTAAAATATGACATTTCATGACAAATTATGTTCAATACTGAAATTCGTGACTTTCCAGGTTCGCGGATACCCTGTATATATAATTAAATATTAACTAGGTTTCACATAAAAAAATAAGATTAAAAAGAACCATAAAGTTTCTTTTAATATTTAACATCTGAATATTTTTATTAATCCATTTTTATGTCAAGTATTTCGTTCAACATTTTTACGACGAATTTTAGGAAATAAAATTCTGTAAAAATAAACAAAATAGGAAATGGTGTCATTTTAGAAACAAAGCTATAAATAATAAATGACTAAAATGCTTTCAATAAACTGTAATAAAAATTAGAAATTTGTCAATAATTTTTCAGAAGTATAAAAATTTTAGTTTCTTTAAAAAACATTTAAAACTACAGTCAAGTCTCGATTGTTTGAGTTTCCCATAAATCGTACCTAAATGAGTTTTGCTCCCAAAAAATGACCAATGCAGGCACAGCACTTAGTGAAATGAATGTTGAAATACAAATCTGTGAACGATGTTTTTAAACAATATACATTAGAGAATGATTTTAAAGTACAATTAATCTGATGCAATAATATGAATATTGTAACTTCGTGTAATGCAATAGATTGCTTTAATTTATTTTAAGATTTCTTGAATTTTAAGTTTCAAATCATTCGAATTTTGGAAATGGGCTCTGTCATGTCCACCTCAAATTATAGAGATTCTACTGTATATAATTGACCTCTGATCTATATTTTACTTAATGCTACATATTATCAAGTTTTTGAATTTTAATCACTATTTAAAATTAATAGACGAAAATTAGATAAATTTTTTTTATTATTTTATTATATTACTATGTAATTATCAAAATTACAAGAAAAAAAAACTACTCTTAACACTATAAATTAATTTAATAACAAAATAGCACAAAGATTTTCATTTTTATTTTAATTAGTAAGCAATTAGTAAGATATAAGTGATACGGTTTTAGTGAGAGATTTAGATGTTATTTTTTAAAGGCCATTTTAATACACAGCAAGTATGTAAATTATAAAGTTCTTAGTGTATGAAATAATCACCTTATATTGCCAAGCTGCCTATATCTCATTTTCTTTTCTTCATCATACATTTCCTGCTCTAACTCTTTCTTCTTTTCCTACAACGGAACAATTTTCAAATGAGTAAAGATTTTAATTCTTAACTACTTAAAAATATCTGCCTCTGCTTGGCAAAACAGTTTTTCTAAGTTTATCATAATAATTTAACTCACTGGAGCAGCCTCTTCCAGAGCCTTAACCCTTTCCTCGTGTTTCAACTCATCACTTCTATCCTGTTCAAATTCTTTCTGGCACTTCGTTAAAAGTACTTTACGGAAATTCACAAAGTCCTTATTCTTAGTGGGCACTTTAATCTATATTAAAAACAGATAAATTAATATACACCTTAATGCAATTTACAATCATTTAATTCAAAATTAGTTGGCTTACCAATGCCAAATGCTTGCACATGTTTGCATAGGGAACACTGAAGTTTGGCTCGTCCACAGCCTTCTCAAATATTAAATCAATGATTGTGCACAGTTTTTCCTCGGTGTCGATATTAAGATTTTTAACTTGAGTCAATAGAGTTTCAAACTTCTGTGGCGTAAGTTTATTAAGGATTCCTTGGACACTTCTTTTAAGTTTCTCTTTATCCTATTAATAATAATAATAAAAAAATGAAAATCATAATTTGTATTACACGCTTGTATATATTAAAGTAATAATTTAATGTTATATTAACTAATTACTTAGTTAAATATAACATTAAAACTTGTAGAGTGAACTTAACAAAGAGTAGTTATAATCAGCATGAATGATAAGGAAGGAGATAAATTTATCACAGAATGTGTAAATTGCTATTTATTCAAGTTTAGAAAAAAAACAAGAAAAAAAAAAAACAATTTTTTGCTACTCCGCCAGTATTTTTAAGTTTACCTTTTTATTTCTTTCCTTTTTGAAGAAAATTGCATTTAAAAGTTGGATTTTTCGAAGGTTCAATTCCCTATACTACTGCCTTTTTGGGAGCTTCACGCTTTATTCATTTCAATGAATAAAGCGTGAATGAATTAACTTAATTAATGAATTATCTTAATTAATTAATAATGAGCTCAATGCCTAAAACAATTCACAGCCTAAACACTCCTTCACAAGTGTAAAACTTCATTTTAAATTAAAATTTTGCAAAATTTATTTAAAAAGCTAAAAAAAGGGAAACTTAAGTTAAAAAAACAAACAAACTGCCAATTTCTTACTTTCTCACTTTAACACATGAAATAACAATATTAATCAAAGGATAGTATGGACAGGACCACTAAAAACTTTCACTACAATCGGGTGTTCACTAAATCTAGAGTTCATTATTACGGAATCAGGCTGTATAATAAATTAAAAATTAATTTTGATAACTTAAAAATTTCGAATTTAATTCAGGGTGTGTAGCCAAATCTTTCAACAAAAAATAAGCACCTTTTAAGCAATCAAAAAATATTTTTAAGCACTATATACATTAACAAAATGAAAAATAATTTTTCAAAGATTTTTCATGATCATGATGTAATAACTAGTTTCTGACGAATAACTATTTTCTTGATTTTATAGGCCATAATAAAATGATCAAGATATTTTTCTGTTCGATATCAGAGGATGGAAAACGAAGTCTGAAATTGAGAATATCTGGCAAAATGCAGCAGAGTTGCTCATGACAGGGTTGCCACTCAAATCTGAAAAAAAAAATTCCCTGTGTTTTCCCTGTACATATTATACACAATATATTAAGAGGAAACAACAATTACTGTGCTCTTGTGTGAGTTATATTGGGCTAACTATATTTACTAGCTTTAATTGCTGTAAAAACAGCTGAACACACTTAAATAATACTATAGTAAATTAAATAATTTAGTATGGCTGAAAAATCATGGTTAAATATCCCGCATAGAGTGGTCACCATTTTTTAAAAGACAAAAATAAGAAACAAAATTCCCTGTATTTTCCCAGTTTGTAAAGAAAAAATTAAAATTCCCTGCACTTTCCCTGTTATTTTAAATGATTTTTAAATTCCCTGTATTTTCCAGGTTTTCCCTGTGCTGTGGCAACCCTGCATGAGAGTGCAAGAATCTCGCAGAACTCAGTTCAGTAGGCGCACATACAGACTCACAAAGTATTTCACCAAACATGTAAAATAATTGGCGCTTTCATACGCTTTGGACCAACAGTATGTTGAAATGGATTGTGGTTGAACAAATTGGGAAAACTTTGAATAAAACAATGTGAAAAGCACGCCTTTGCACAATGCACGGCGAAAATCGACAAGTTAAAGAAAAAAATCTCATTTTCGAAAAGGAAAAACTAAGCACTTTTTAAAAACACCCAATGAAAAAAGCACCTTTAAGGGCTTTTAAGTAACAAAAATAAAAAAAAAGAACCTTTAAAAATGCTATGCACCATGTAATTGATTATCCAAGAAATTAATTATCTTACAAACATGCAAAAATTTTTTACATTAAAAATACAAAACAATCAAACATACAAGATCTATCTGGTCACTACCGGCATCTTGCTTGTACAAAGGTTTCCAAGCATTATCAGCTTCATGAAGTTTAACATTTTGAGAAAGGGATATAACTTTTTTGGTTTTAGAATCTCTACCTTGGAGACTACGTCGATTAGTATAATTGTTCATCTGGGGCTGTAAAGACAGAAAAAATTATCACATGTTAAACATATTTGCATAATAACATATATAAATTAAAAAGCAGAAATTTTTCTAGTATTTTTTAAATTAATTTATTTTTATAAAACAATCTCATTTAAAAAGTAAAACATCAAAATTATTAATACTTCAACTCAATTCTAAAACAACAAAAGAAGAATCTCTACAGAGATTCAAGCAATATAACCTAATCCTTTGCTTACAGCTGCCACAACTAATTTACCAGAATGTTAAACACAAGCAGAAGGTTAAAATAACAGCTTAATACGTATGCAAAGAAAAAAGCAATTTATTTTAAAAACAGTATTTTTTTTTATAACCATATTTGTCGAATTGTCTTAACATCCTTAATTAAAAAAAAAAAGTAGACACGTAATTTTTCAAGTTAAAAATTTTTTTTTTTAAAAGTTTCATAATCTATCAAACTAATTATTAACGGAAATATGAAACATACCATTCTAGGTACTCCTCTTTGTGCAAAAGTTGGCAAAAAGTGATCTCGGAAGTTAGGCATCACAGGCATTTGTTGTTGCACCTGTCTGTTGACTTCGTTCAACTTCTGTATATGAGCCTATGAAATAAGAAGTATATTAATTAAAAGTACTTGAAATCCTATCTTAAAAATGGTTCAGTCAATAATGCAGGATTTTTTGATAAAAGAGTTTTAACAGACATATTTCTTACTGTAAATTCATGTCCCTCAAATAATTTGAAAAAATGAGAATAGTCATCAAACAGCACATATAGGAGCAAAATTTACTGCACCTAATATTTCATAGAGAGAACAACTTTTCTGACCCGAGGAATTTTTTATTCTTACTTTTGTATAATTAGTTCTAATTATAAATATATATACATACATACACCTACACACACATGGAGTATCAAAATTTAAAATGAAAAACAATAACAGCTAAATTTAAATATTGTGCACCATTTAAGTGGAGAACTTCCCCTTTCATTTTACCATACAATGGACATCAAACTATTTTTAATTTAAATAACTCTTAGTATACAAATGCTGTAAATTTGGGGACCATATTATTTTTGCTCTTGTTAACTTCATTTTAAAACAACAAAATCCACTTAAAACAATCAAAGAAAAGGTGATTATAAATAAATGGTGTTTAAAACATTGAAATTACACTCCATAGGTATATTCAGGGTAACTGCTACATTTTAGATTTTCAAATTCATGACAAATTCCTTTTTCTCCGACAATAACACAACAATAAATTTTAAAAAGCATTATAACAACATTAATTGAAATGATAAGTATAACCAAAACTGTTATACTCTGCATCTTAATATTTATAGATTTTAAATTTAAAAACCGAGTAAAGAAAGAGTTGAAGCAATAAACNCTACGCTTCAGGCAGATGGTAGTTTGATAAGAGGGGATGGAATTCAAGCTGAAAGAAAAACTTACCTTCGCACTCGCGGAAAAATTAGGTAATTTTGAGTTTGGCCGTCGATCGCAGTAAAATTCGGGAGTTTTTCAAATCAATTCCGGAGGGCGGGAGAATAACTCAAAATTCGGGAGACTCCCGCAAAATGCGGGAGAGTTGGCACGTCTGAATAAAATAGCAGGGGAAAAAATACAAAAGCAAATAATTTTCTTCTTTTCTGCAGAATTATATTCTAAAGATACTTTTCTTGTTCACCGGAAAGGAAAGAAATACTCCTGATTTTTCTGTTCTCATTTCAGAATTAAAAAAATTCGCCAATGACTGGCTTGCTTGCTTCGGCTAGAATTTTAAATTGATAAAAAAATAATAATAACAAAAATTCTGAAATCACAGAAGCTTAAAAGATAATTTTCGCTCTAGAAATTATGTTTTTTCTTTCATTGTTTGAAAGAACACCATAATTTTTAAAGAACATGATTAAAACATTTTATGCTAACCAAATATGACTGTGAGTGGGGATTTTGTTACAAATAACTCAGATATTCTGAACACCAGGAAATGGGAGGGGGTGGGTGGGTAAATTCCATTTCAAAAATAGATTTTTCGGTGACCTAAATCCACGACTTTCCAGGTGTGCGGAAACCCTGTATATTATAGGAATTAAAATTTAAATATTTAATTTTTACAAAAATTTACAATAAACAAAGTTACAGGGGTGATTGTGAGCCCAAGTCAAAATTCCGGAAAATTTCTGGAGTAAGAAAAAAAAATGTATAGCGAAAAAAAATTTAAATATGGTTTTTTCCTTTTTCTTAATACTTCTTAGATTACTTAAAATATATTTAAAATTTTGCACATACCTATACCATTTACACATACCAATGATGACTTAGAGAAGTAATTGAAATTTACAAGTATGACTTTCTTTGTTGAGTTTATGATTATAATAACTATTTACTGATAAAAAAATTACAATTTATCTTGAATATAAGCTTATAAAGTATCTGGCTCTCCCTTACAAACAAATAAAATAAACTGAAATTTTTACGTTCCACCTTTGAAAATTTGATTTTTGGAAACCTTAGCGATTAATGATTTTTTTAAACGTCTTAACCTTCGATCTCCGGAAACTTCTGGATCACGGTTAGCAAAAAATCCGGAAATCCAGAGCACAATCAGCCCTGAATTTACCAAATATGTATATTCTTCTTAGTCTAACATGTTTTGGCTAACCTTTACAGAATAATACAAATTTGATGATGTTTTAAAATATAATGCAACAATATTGCAAATGCAATTCTTTCTTGTGCCCACACAACAAAAATATTCAAGATGCTTTAGTAAAAAAATAACACTAAAACAAAACTAAATAAACAATATACTTTGTCTTTAATGACATCTAGGTTTGGCAAGTTCTGTGGTTTTACTAAGGACGATGGCTGGCATTGTAATTGAAGAAGAAAATCCCTATCATATTGTTTCTTCCCCTCGATATTTACAGGACTCCATTGATCTATAATGAAACACAGTTTATAAACATATGATTTCAATTTACAAAGGATAATTACAACATGATCCAGTAGATTTTTAAGAAATATAAATGTCCTGATAACTGTTGCATAACATAAATATTTTATTGTAATCATTTTAATTATAGTTAACACTATAAATAGTCTGCAATATTTTCCATTTATGATCGACATTAAATGTACTTAAATTTTAAATATTTTTCAATTTGTTAACTTATAATTTTAAATACTAATAAAAAGGAACTTTATACCTGCCAACCTTCTGGGAAAAAAAATCCAGAAGATTTTATATGGTACAAATTTGAACGCAAAATTTGGGAATTGATTATCAAAAAATTCCCTTTTTTAATCTCAGAGTGAGAAGATATAATTTACAATACTAAAATCAGTTTTGAATAGTAAACATTATAAAGAATTGTACATCTAATCAATAAAATAGAATTTTGAATATGTTTATAAAGTAATGATTAAGTTAGTTATTTTCAGAAATTATCATAATGGAAAAAATATGTAATCCATAAAAGAAAAATGATTTATAAATAATAGGTTAACACTATAGGCTTCCAACCATATTTTTAAAATTAAGGAAAAAATTCACACTTCCAAAAAAGCTTCAAATTATTTTAATTAAGCGTTGATAACTAAGACAAGTTGCATCCATCAGGAAGTTAACTAAAACTTACTTTTTAATATATATATTATTGATATTATGGACATTATAATAAAATTAAAGAACTAATTTCTTTAATAATTTCAGTAAAGTTTAATTAAACTATAAGTATTACAATAAAATTATGTAGCAATGTATGAAATTTTAAAAAAAAATTCAATATTAAACTTTAAAAATAAAGGGTAAACATGAAAAAAAGATGTAAGACATAACTTGGTTAAGCAAGATAAGATAATTAAAAAAAAAAAAAACCTTGTTATAATAAATGGTACAAATGACAAAATAAGCTTTTATGCCGTGGATTTAATCTTAATTTTGACTATTAATGAAGTGGCATGTTTAGCCTTTTTTCAAAATATCAGCACTAAACTTATCGTTTTTTCGAAAAAGTTATTTATTGTTGAATTTCCAGATGCAGACTTAACATCTCTAATAAGCTTTTTGGATTTCATCTGCTCAACAATATTTTTTCCGCTGTGACAATTCATAAAGTTGCAAGAGCAAACGTTACAAAATGCGTATTTATCATCATCTTGCGATCGTAAAATGCCAGGAAAAACACTACAGTATGATTGCAAATAACGTTTGTTCATTTTTGTAAAAAACAGAACACTAACCAAGCCTAACAACACTGTGTGCTACCTAACGAAAGTAAACAGCGACAAAACTGGCGTCAATGAGTGAGCCGCAAAGCCTTCTCTCTTCCTCCCCCTCTCCTATATTCAACGGACTCCTCTGAAGATGCGCACACTTCTTCATAAACTGACATCACATTAACACCCTCAGCTGAGTTGGTGAATTATTCGAAAACTGGGTTGTTTCTCCTGACTATGGTAACCCACAACACAATTTCGACGCACATTTTAGAACATTGCTCGACAAAAGGTTCGTAAGCACCAAATTTGAAGATTTTTTAAAATTATTTTTCCAAAAAATCGGGACAAATCCGCAAGATTTTGCTATTACCCAGAAAATGGAGGAAAATCCGTAAAACTTCTGGAAAATCCGGAAGAGTTGGCACGTATGTAATTTATTATTGATAGTTAAAGGATATTTCTTTGATTAGTTTAAATAGAGAATTCTGTAGATTTTAGAACCAAAAAAAAAACCAAATAAGCTTAAAATTGATTATTATAAATGAGGCTCGTCTCATTATGTATTAGTAATATTTATTTAAATATTCAAGCAAGCAATGAATTGTGTAAAAATTCTATTTCAATAAGGATTTTTTTTTTCTTTTGAAAAAATTTATTCAGTTTTAGGGAATTTTCTAAAATATGCAAAAACCAACAGTCTACTGGTAAATCCAGTAGAGTTGGCAGCTATGTAATTAGTAACAAAAGAATCAAATCAGAAAATGAATTCAATTTACAAAAACAAAAAAGGAGACAAAAGTAAATAAACTATTAAAACAAAATGAAAAAGCACCTAAAACCAAATTTGCTTTCTTTAATTTAGAAATTCAAACAAACATTAATTCTGTAAAAATTAAAATATATATGTGTGTTTGTAAGAGAGCACTTCTTCACTGAAGAAGTGTCTTACAAAAACACATATATATTCTAATTTTTACAGAATTAATGTTTGTTTGAATTTCTAAAAAAAGAATAACACACACCTTCTTTGTAGCTATATTTTAGTTTGTTTGATTGTTTAGTTTTATTCTGTGCTGGATCATCTACATTTTCTTTGTCTTCATTTTCAATCGTAGGTGAAACTGAAGATGAATCACTCTGCTGTTCAACTAGTGAGATATCACTCTGAGGTGAATTGTCAGAGAGTATTTCTCCAGGCAGAGGAATAGTACTAAGCAATTCACTATCTACAATTGCAGCAGGTAAAGGAGATAGTGGCTGCTCATCCGCTTGACTTTGAGGGACTGTTGGAGCAGTTGAAACTGACACTGCGACAACCTCCTGAAATTAGAAGAAACCTAGTCAAAAATAGCCAGACACTAATAAATTAAGATTATCTGCATCAAGTCTTAGTGAACAAGCTATGTTGCAAAATTTCTGAAAGACTGCTTAGCTTTAGAAATTGAACAGGATAACCGATTAAAAAAACTTTATTTTCCCCTTTAAAAAGAAATGTTTTTCATTATTATTTATTTATTTTTTTTGATTTAAAACAAAAAGGTAAATAGTCAGGGTGCGTAGCCGGATTTTTTAACAAAAAATAAACACTTTTTAAGCTCTCAAAGAATAATTTTAATCACTTTCCAAAAAATCATAATTAGGATCTGTGCAGTAATAAATTTTTTTCTATCATTTTAAGTTCTTCATTTGTAAACATAAAATCAATAAAACTTAAAAGCATTTAAAAAAACTTCACATTAGGGGTGCGCACAACATATAGCCTGAGGGCCAACATATAGCCTGAGGCCATTTCTTTTACATTGGTTTTTTTTTAAACATTATAAATTTTCAATACAAATTTATATTACTCTATAAAATGCATAGTTTTTTTGTAACTCATTCTGTATCATTTTTGTGTATTCATTCCTAGGCTTCTTTCTGGTTTAGAATTTTAATCCCCTATCCCCAAATATTTATGCGTGTGTGTATATAATATATATATATATATTTGATAAATTAATTAATATGAAAAAGGGAAAAAGTTTTTTAACAAACGTTTAAGTTTTTTTTAGTTTTAATTAAATTCAAATATTTAAAACTATTTAGTTTTCTGCAAATCTGTTAAGTTTACCGAACATCACATTTGCCGATAACATGAGTGCGGCCCTTCGTTAATTTACCTGCTGTGCAAGTGGCCCTTCGTTCATTTATCTGCTGTGCAAGTGGCCTTTCACTCAGAAAAGTTGTAAAAGTTGAAAGTTGTAAACCCCTACTTTACATAATCATGATAAAATAACTAGTTTCTGATAAAAATTGCAGAGAAAATGGTAAAAATCATGCATTTTTTGTAATTTAAAATGACATTCGACAAAACAAGGAAAGAAAACTCCTTTTCAAAGATAGAAAATTAAGCACTTTTTGCAAACCTTGATTAAAAATAACACCTAAACACTTAACTATTAATATTTTGAGGAAAAAAAAGAAAAACTAACAAATATAATCCTTTTTAACCCATAAATATGAAAACATGATTTGTAAGTTTATAAAGAAATGTCATAATTTAGAATTATTTACATTAATGTCCTTATTTAGCAATATACACTTAGTAGTATTAATATCAATTAATTGTTCTAAAATAAACATGTTTTTTTTATTTCATGAGTCAAACAAGAGTGACATATTAATTCAAGATATATCTTTCCAATTAAAAAATATTTAAAATCCATAAAATGATGAAAAGAAATGAACCAAATATAAACACATAAAAAAAGTAAAGATATATTTTAGTACTAACTGAATGAAAATTAAGAATGAATTACTTTATCATTTATATTAACATGACTTAATCTAAAATTCTTATTCAGGTGTTGCAGAATTTAATAAGAAAAATATACCTTAAAAATATTTTTAGTGAGTTTAATATTTTTCTTTAACAATCTAAGTGGAAGAACTTATAGAAATTTTAATCATGTAAAATATTTAAAAATATATAACTAGCCTATTTATTTTCGAGAAATAGAAAAAATAAGTTCTAATTCTTTTCTTTAATTGAAAAATTTGAAAGAAAAAAAAAAGAAATATTTGATTTACACTACAATAGGATTCTAACCAAATGTATACAAATTTAAAAATGATTAACTTAAATTCATCAGTATCTATCTTCTTCAATTTTGTGAAAATTATGCTTTGTCTAATGACAACTATTTATGCCTTAAAATTATTTTAGAAACATCCAAAATAGAATCGGATAAATTAAAATAAGTAAGTTCTAGTTCTTTACTCAAATCCACCCAAGTCTCTTAAATCAGGCAATGTATAACCTATTCAAAAGCCATCGCTTGTTAAAATAAATTTTATAAGGATAACCCAACAATTAGGTTGATCTATTTCATTTCTATTTACATGTTCATTTCTTATTTACATGTTCATTTCTATTTACATGTTTCATTTCTATTTACATGCTTTTTGAGGCAGAAAGGGCTCAGTGCAGTACCTCCTAATTCAGTCTGATGTGCGGTTAATATAATTTATTTAATTTATGTAAGTATTTATAATTTGATATTTTGCTAATTATGGTTCGTTCTTGAGCTAATTTAGTTTTTAAAATAAAATTTATTATTTATAAATGGTAATGTTTTAACAAGTACTATTTGCTTACATTTATCTTTCAAACAGAACAGTTTTAATTATCAAGTTTTGTTACTATAATCCTTCCTATGCATATGTTTAGATCATAAAACAATTTGAACAATAAAAAGTAATTTTGGAAAAATGAAGCCTCATAAAAATTAAATTGAAAAGTAATTTCTATTATCTATTACTATCTTGTCTATTTGAATATTGTTAATTGCTTTAAACAATATCAATTGTCTGCAATGTTGTATGTATGAACAATTGTATTGAGAAAGTAAAATTAGTGTAACAAATATTTGTAACAATGTCATTGATTCCAAATTTAAGACTAGATTCCAAATGGTGAAATTTACCTCTCCTTTATCAAGGAAAGCATCCATTTCTCCACCATCTTTGCTCTCGCCTTTCTTGTTATATTCGGTCTTCTTTTTTTTACCCTTGTTGCCTCTCTTTCCTGAAAAGATATAAAATGTTAAGAATTTAATAGCAGTCACAGTAGAAAGAATGTCTAAATATAGAAACAAATTCAGAAGAACCGTCAGAAAATGTGTAGATACAAAGGATAAAATACTATTAATGAATGAAACAAATGTCTAGAACAAAGTTTCAGGATGAAAAATTGACTAGCAATCAAAAATAAAATTACTATCAATAACTACCAAGTAAAATTCAATGCACGTGGCAGAATTTTTTCGAGCTATCGGCAACAAAACTATAGCACTAGAATCATTCTACAACATACTTTTAATAACAAACATCAGAGTGCATAGCCAAATCTTTCAACAAAAAATAAGCACCTTTTAAGCACTCAGAATATATTTTTAAGCATTATATACATTAACAAAATGTGAAATAATTTTCACGATAAAAGGACCTGTTTCTAGCAAAGAACTCTTTTCTTGATTATATTAGCCATTAGAAAAGATCAAGAGGTTTTTCAGTTCGATATCAGACAGGTGTAAAATGAAGCCAGAAATTGAGAATATCCTGCAAATGCAGCAGAGCTGTAAATGAGAGTAACTGAATCTTATCGAACCCAGATCAGCAGACGCACATGTGGACTCGCAAGAATTTCATCAAACATATAAAATGATTGGCGCTTTCATATGCTATGAACCGCCTGGAAACCGAATAACTGGCTGAATGAATCGTGAAAACGTTGAATGGAATAATGGGAAAAAATGCATTTGCATAATATGTGGCGAAAATCAAAAGAAAAAAAAATTCTCATTTTTGAAAAGGTAACATTAAGCACTTTATAAAAACACCCAATGAAAAAAGCACGTTTAAAGGCTTTTAAAAAACAAAGATAAGCACTTAAAAACGCTCCCTGAAACATATATGTTACTAATTTAGAATAACAGAAGAGCTGTGTTAAAAAATAAATAAAAATATATATTTTTTTATTTGAGCATGGAATAGGTAGTTTTTTATTCTAATATCATGGGTTATATTCTCGAAATTTGGGGGGGGGGTGCAAATTATTTTCTTCCATTTTGTAAATAATTATCCCAATAAAGAAAATTAAAAATCATAAAATCCATAGTAGTAATTACCGAAAATTGTTTCATTTCGAAATTTAGTAGTTTAATGAATAATATTGCATATAAAAAAAATTGTATTTAAAACTATGGACAAATCAATAGCTGCAAAAAATTCCATAGAATTATTGCCGTAAAAAGTATACACTCAAACGCAGGATTTAAATTTTCCATATCGTTCTCAATACATCAGGATGTTTAAAATTTACATGAAAAACAATAACTACCAACAATACAAACGAACATTACATTGATTTACGCTCCATCAGCCATTACATTGATTTACGCTCCATCAGCGTAAATTGTGCAAGTAAAAAAAATGATTATTTAAATGCATCATTAAAATATTATGTATATATTTCTATAGAAAAGAAAAATGTTTTACTTTTCAAAAGAAAAATCTTTCTGCAAGAACTCTAANTTGGATAGAGATTTAATACCAAATATGGATCAATTTAGTTTTTTCTTTTTAATACATCCACAAATGCAAAAGAATATACAGGCTCATAGCATCATTATTAGAATTATTCTATAACATGCCAACATAACTACAATAAAAAAAAAAAAAATTTGACTTACATGCTCTAATATAACTAAATTATCTTTACAAAATAGTGATATTCTCTTTCTCAACACAGTCAATGATTACTGTCGCATGAAATTTCAATATATTTTTCAAATCAAAAAATAAAATTCGAAGTGTAATTTAACTCTAATATAAAGAATGTAAATATTTACTTCAAATATGCAACAACTTAACTAAATTATTACACCAATTAATAAATTATTTATAACTTACTAGGATTTGATTTTTATTATTATAAATACTTTCTTACTACACCTTTTCAAATTTTTATTTTTAAATTAGGATATTTTTAATAGATAAAACCAACTAATTTAGTAAGTTATCTATTTTTAAATTAACTATTGAATAAATTCCATAACACATAAACTATCTAAAGTAAATTTTTTTCAGCGATGATAAAAATGAATACTGAACACTATATGCTTAAAATATTAATTGTAACTGATCATGATACCTTACTAAATTATTCATTGAAAATATGACTTTTCAACATATTAACTTGGGTCACAAATTAATAGGATCAAATAAAATATTGCTTGCATAATTTATTTATAACCAGGTATAAAATACTAGAATCAGAAACATGTTTTTCAGACTCATTAGTTATAAATCAAAATTGAAAACATTAAAAGATGATATACTATTTAAGTATTTATACCAACAATAGAAAATTAAATTGAAGATCTTACTTCAAAAAAAAAAAATTTTGTTTTGTTTTCAACTGATTAATTTTGTTTAAAACGATATTAAATATTCCTGAAAAAAATTCTATAATATATTTTAAATCTAATAGCAACAACTAGAAACATGTAAAAATAAATTTTTATCAACCCATTACAGCTGATCATGACACATTTAATTGACGAGACACGTTACATAACCAAACAAAATTCTAGATCTTTCTAAAATATCTTATTCGCGATAAAATAGGAAAATTGTTTAAAAAATACGTGTAAATGAGCAATTTTTTACGCAAGATTACTAGCAAAAATATTAATAAATTTTTTATTTATTAACAGTTTGTCAAAAAAATAATTTTTTAACAACGGCAATTAACATAATTGCAACCAATCACGATATGGAAATCTCCCCGAACATATTACCAAATAAAATTTAAAAGATTTGTTTCTAAATAGTAGGGATTAATAATTTAAATTTTTTTTTTTAAAAAGTTAACCTTAAAAAGTTGAAACAAAAAATAAATTTTAATAAAATAGTTTACTAAATTAAAAGTGAAGATCACTAGATACGAGTTGTTGTTCAAGCAGGTATTGAACGAAAACATTATTTAGAAAAATAATAAAAGCATAACAATTAAAATTTCTTTTAGCAGACATTGCGTCATCGTGACCGCGGGGCTGCCATAACTTTAAATTTAGATAACAGTTGCCCCCATATGGTTATGAAACAACATCGGATACGCTTACACTTTTTTAGTGGCCTAATTATATTATTCTAAGACAACATCAGAAAGAGAAAGCTATTGAAAATAATTAAGCAACGCATTTAAAGTAACACGTTTAGTATTTCATGCACGTGTAAAAAATCAAACAAAAAATCAGCTGACACAAATATTGAAATAGATCAAATCACGAATAATTTCATACCTTTGCCGTTATAGACCGGCCATCGATCTCCAGTGGGCGGCATATTATAACCCGGCATTCTAATGATCTTTTTCACAAAAACAGATATATATAATTCACTTGAATTTAAGCCAGATCATAAGAGAAAATTTGGGACGAGACGACGAGCAACCATCATGGCTGCTGAGGAAGTAGAACGAAAACACGGTGTGTCTCGTCCGACATCAGAATGTTTTACCGATTTAGTTGCATTGCGACTGCTGCAAGTTCGGGAACATGTCGAACTTTATTGGATCGTGGCACTATAGGAAATGATGAAGTCCTTTCGGATTTATTACGAAAAAAAATAATTCAGAGAAATCCGACTCCTCTACGAGCCCGACGGTGAAAGGGCGACTCGCGCGAAAACGGATGTATCACTGTCAGAGCACACGTGAACAGTTCCCAAACTTTTTTGGCCAATCTCGGGACGTCCAACACCGCCAAGGTCGCCACATCTCGTTATCGAGAACAGTGCGCCGCCGCCACATACACTACATTACGTTCTCTTGTACTTTCATACCTTGGAGAAAAGGAAGGAATGGTATTTTAGACTTAACTATTTTTACAGGATTATTTATTTACAGGACCGATGGGTGACGTTGAGTTTTAAAAATTACGAGTTTTGTAGAGTAAATGCATAAAAAAATTTCGCGCAGATGAATCTATCTTGAAAAATAAATCTATAATAACCTTAATTTATTTAAACTATAAATCATAATAGTTAGATTAATATGTAATTTTAGGTTGTCTAATTAGCGTCTCTTGTATAGTGTTAACCCTAGTGTTAAAACCAAAGAATAATCAAAAACCCTTCACAATTAGCATAAGAAACTTAACTGTTAATTTCATTTTAATTAATATTAAAAAAAAAAACACTGAAATAATAAATTATAAAATGTAGAGGTAGTACTAATTCTAAGCGTATACAAGGTTATTAATAGATTAATCTTCTGACATTGAAATTTTTTATTTTTATTTATTTATTATTATTATTATTTTTTTTTTAAATTTTTCTTAAACAAAAACATGTTCAAAACAAATGTAATTCTAGGATTTTTTAAGAAACATAGAATTTAGGTACAATAAAAGTAAGTTTTTCTTAGAGGAAGTTGAATGAAAATTTTACTATAACCTAATTAACTTTACAAAGTGTGCACAGCCTCAATCGTTTGGCCTTATTCCAAACATTGTTTTACTACACTAAGAAAAAATTAAATTATCAATTAGTCTTCCCAAAAGCTAAATTATTCCGTTCCCTTACGTTACATAATGTATATTTACTGCAAGTAATTATTCACTATTAAAATACATTAAAGCACAGATGTGCAGTCTGATTTATGATTGCAAAGCACATGCTGTATTATATAGACTTACAGGTACTTATAATAATTTGCATTGCAATTTTTAATATTTTAAAAGAGTGGGGGAAACAAATGTTCCGAGTCTGCCACGTTTTAGCTAACAATTTGTAAAACTAATAAAAAGAAAAATTTATCGCTCTATAAATGAGATATTTTTTAATTAGAACAAAGAAAAGAACTTTTTACAAAAAAATATATTTGCTGTGATTCAATATCAGGGATAATATACTAATTTGATGCAATTATGTATTCAATATCAGACAAGACGGCAGCCATTTAAAATAAAATTAATTTCCTCTTTAGTAAGGTTAAAGACTAACATATTAAACTCACGTAAT